AAAATACTTTTCACCACCACATATTATATTTCTGAGGTAGGAAATCAAAAGTAGTATAAAACAAAATCGGTCCGAGGAGAGGGGTTTCCACAAATGAAGGGAGGGTCCCGAAAGCCCTAAAATATGATTACGAAGTATATAGACGCTCCCCAAGACACCTGAATAAATTACTAAAAAAAATATTAACCCTAAAACCTTAACGTGTATCATCCACTATTTCTTAAGGAAATCAAACGATGTTGATAATAACTCCAATAAAAATGAGTCGTAGAGAGCTCTATAACTGAATTTTCGAGTGAAATCTTGACAGTTAAGTGGATTTTTGGAAGAAGAAATTGGAGTTACAGTACTTGTACAATCGGTTCAGCTTATCAATTTTCTTAGAAAACCACGTGGGCATTCACGTTCCACTCATTTCTATTAGTGTCTCTACTGGAAGTACAAGTAAAATATTTATTGTCAAAAAAATGTGAGAAAAATATTATTATTCATAACAGTGATTATTATTTACAATAATGTAATGTACGGCGAAACCAATGCTACCAGATTTCCCGTGATGTTTGACCTGTGGTATAATAAAGTATTTGTTTTGTGCGGACACGATTGTCATGAATATGAGGTCATCTATCTTTGCTCCCGATGTCGGTTCAAATAAGGTAACTTAAGTTCGTCTAAATAAATGGCTTATGTACTTTTATTTCATATATAATTTTTAAGCTACAAATACACACAACGACAATTCATCTTGAGTTTGCTATTATTCGAAAATAAAAAACTGCTGTACTAAGGGTAGCATAAGTAGCGTTTATCTCGCATTGCTAACAAAATATAATCTATTGTAAGATTTCGTGCAAAGACTTTCTGTCGCTAAGCGAGGAAAAGTTTCCAAATACTTTGGGTTATCTTAACTAAATAAAAAAACACGATAACATTTAGACAAGAATACGTGCTTAAATTATGTCTTATCCTCCAAACTATCAAGGAAATCGACTAAATTGTATTTTGCCTTTGCTACAGTCTCAGTTCTGAATTCATTCCGACAACATAACTAAACAAGCAAGGCCGGTTAGCTTTCAATAAATTGTGCATTATAATTAAATGAAAGTACGTAAGCATGTGCATACACGTATATTGTATGTATAAACTTATGCTGCTGAAAATACGCTAAAAAAGGATTTCTCCCTGAAAATACATACATACTTAAGTGTTTGTGATTAACAAGATTAATTATATTAGTGCTTAACTGATCGTTATTTGTATTTGAGTGTAGAGTTGCCACAGCAACTCTGTGAAGTAAAGCTTTGGCGAAATTCCAAGTTCAAAACACAAGTGGAAATTCAGGAAAAGTTTGACGGTTATAAAATCCGAGATGTGGATTGGGGACCACAGGAAGTTTTTTGTTTGCAGTACCATGAAAACACAACTTTTTCTTCCCGCATTTCTAAGAACAGTATTGTTTTTTTTTCCTTTTTGTTTGTTCATAATCCCAAAATTTGTTTAGTCCCAAAAGGTCAAAAAGTATATTTAATACGAGGTGTGACAGTAATGAGATATAAAAACCGTATTTTTCAAAATTATTCTACAACTCTGCCATCCCCTTCAAAGTAGTCCCCTTGCTTCGTAATTCGAACGTTTCGACTGCAATGTCGGCGTTTACCCTCGTCACGGCCGTCTGGATGTCTTCAATCGACTCAGAATGGCTTCCTTTGACCACCGACTTTGTTCTAGGGAACAAAACAAGTCACAGGGTGACATATCGGGCAATAAGGCGTTTGTTGCAACACGGCGATCGCTTTAGAGTCCAAATACTGTGGACGCTTTGTGGACGCTTTCACCGCTCTCAAAAAGGAAATATTCATCGTTTTCACCTTCGACTTGCTCATGCGAGATTTTTTCGGGCGGGAGGCGTGCGTAGACAACCTGGACACGACTATGAGCACTATCACCATGCACTTTTACAATTTTAGCGTAAGTTTCCGAAACTGTTTCGCCCAAATTGGCGCAAATTTTTATCGCGACAAGTTCTTCGTCAATTCGTTTTTCCATTTTCGTGGCGAGCACCACGAACACACCTTTTCTCAACACAACACAGCAGACGAACTAAACATGCAAATATATCAATAGAGAGGAGAAGGTTGCCAATTGCGGCAATATAATCAGTCTCATCACTTAATTGTCACACCTAGTATGGACAACTGACAGTTCGTAGGGCATCCGGGACTATACATTAGATTCATACTAGTTTAATACTATTTTATTTAGTTACGTTGAATCAGGATAGAAAATCACCAAAAATAAAAATTAGGTTTGCCTGCAGCGACATTCGAACCGTGAGTCTTCAGTCACGACAGTCATCACCGTCGGCACTCGGCTAAGTTGTTATGAGCATTGGCACACATCTCACTTCAACTGCCTCACTTCAACAGGGGAGTTTGCCAGGGCTGGAGTGTTGCATCCGTAGCGGTTGCAAACTTTATTTATATGTTTAGGGTTATTGTGGGTAAGCATATGTTAGATCAGAAAGGTGGCTTAGTTATATTTTCCTTGAAGACTTTAAAAAACGAAAGAGCGTCTACACCCTGACGCTATCTGATACGAGCCTTCATGAGTAGCTAAAAAAAACCTCAGCAACTGTAATATTTAAACCTCATATTTTGAATTTCTATATGTACTTACAGATATACACATACGTTGCTACAATATAACGGATAATTTAATATTTTATTTGAACTTTAGTTACGACTTTTCGGTACTTTTACCTGTCACCTCCTTTACAATATCAATTACAAAATCTATATTAAGCAAAATACAGAAAGCCATAACTCGTTGTTGTAGTAGTACTCATTATAATAAATTTTTAATTTAAGCTTAGTCCACACTTCTTAAGGAAACCAAAAATTTCATATAAAAAAGCTCACGATATACTCAAGAAATTTTCTCCTCTCTCACAGCTTTTAAGAAATTATGAGCTTTTCCTTCGACCAATTTTTTTAATTTTATAGAAGAAAGTAGATATAGAAACTTCAGTTTCATTACTATAATATAATTAGCACCTTTATAACCGCTTAAGCGGTTTTAGGCGGAGCTGCTCCAATTTGTGTGATGTGTCTTGATGTTTTAAATCAAGTGGAGGCACCTACAGTTCATTCTGAGCCGAGAACGACCGATGGATTTTTATGGGAAGCCTTTATCTCATAACAGAAATACACTCGGAGAGCTTGACATTTTCTGCCGAAAGGCGACCGCAATTAGAACAATAACTTTCTATAATTTTGGATATTTGTAGAAACAATACCCGAACCTGAACACCTTCCCCCGGTACAAGCACAAGTTATTTTGTTTTTAGCACAAACGGTTTCCCAAATGCCCAGATTCTCCGTTCGCCAAATGATATATAATATCAAATATCAAATATCTCCCTTCCGCTTTTTTGCTCTTCATTCAATGCTTTATAAAAAGTGTTACAGTGATCGGATTTAGTTAAAATATGCGCCGTTTTGTTCGATGATCTGTTTCCATCTAGACGGCAACTTCATAATATCTTCCAGCCACTTTTCACAAGCCTCTTTTGAGTTCAACTTCACACCACCAAGGGCATTCGCCATGAACAGGAACAGGTGGTAATCACTTGGCGCTACGTCCGGGCTATATGATGGATGCGCTAAAACCTCCCATCCAAGCTCCCGTAGCTTCTGACGAGTCATCAACGAAGTGTGTGGTCTGGCGTTGCCCTGGTGGAACACTACACCCTTCCTGTTGGATAATTCTGGAAGCTTCTGATCGATCACCTGCTTCGAGCGGTCCAGTTGTTCGCAGTAGATGGTAGAATTAAACGTCTGGCCATATGGGAGCAGCTCATAGTGGATGATTCCCTTCCAATCCCACCAAACACACAGCAAAACCTTCCTGGCCGTCAATTCCGGCTTGGCCACTGTTTGGGACGATTCACCGGCCTTAGACCACGACCGTTTTCTCTTGATATTGTCGTATGTGATCCATTTTTTGTCGCCAGTCACCATCCGCTTCAAGAATGGGTCGAGTTCGTTCCGTTTGAGCAGCATATCGCAGGCGTTGATTCGGTCCAGAAGGTTTTTTTGCGTCAAATTATGCGGCACCCAAACATTAAACTTTTTTTTGTATCCAGCCTTCTGCAGATAGTTCAAAATGGTTTGGTGACTAACTCCCATCTCCTGGGCGATGTCACGAGATGCCATATGCCGGTCTAACTCGATGTATTCCATGATTTGATCGGTATTTGTCGTCACAGGTCTTCCGCCGGCTGGCTTATCCATGGTGTCGCTTTCACCGGCTCTGAATCGTCGAAACCATTACTCCGTGGTTCGAAGTGATAGATAGATGATGATAGATGATAACTGATAACTGTTGAACGCAATATCCAAAACTAATCATGCATAGCGTTGTTTTGTAGGTTATGTCAAGACCTTTCCAATTATGTATAGTGTTGCCAGATACGTATACGTACCGCTTTGTACATAGCGGAAGGGAGATATTTGACAACCTTATATTATTTATATAATTGGCGCTTTGTAACCGCTGAAGAGGTTTTTCGTTCGAGTTCCTCCTCCAATTTGTGGTTATGCGTCGTGATGCTCTTCCAACAAATGGAAAATGTATTATTATAAGTGTTATTCATTTAATAACAATGATTTTTCATTAAACATGTAGTAGGAAACAAAAGCACATTCGTACGCTTAGCGGGGAGGGAAAGACTTTAAATCTTATAATGACCAGGAATTTTTGGCCTGATTAATAAGCAGCGTTCCAGCAGGGTATAAATACAGTTCTGTATATTCACAGATATTAACATACAAACTAACTACCTCACTATAATCTCTTGGTCTTAAAGTATACAGAATTTTTTTAGAATTACACAACATACCTTATCGGCCCTATGATATATGGCGCCTTAATCTTATTTTGCGATGGAATAAAACAAAGCGCTAGACTAAATTGTTGCTTGTATTATAATTTATTTTTAGAATAAATGGCAACGCAAAGTTCCAGAGCACGTGAAGAGGCCAAAGCTGTTGCCGAGCCATTAAATGAGGAGAATGAAGAATACGAAATTGACGAATCAACCGCGGCTGTGGTGGTTCCACCCGATAGCGGCTGGGCATGGGTCGTGATGGTGGCGTCATTTTTATGCTGCACGGTTCTTGATGGTATCGTCTTTTGTTCCGGCTTGATTTTAGATCATTTAATTGAAGAATTTAAAGTGAAAAAAGGATATGCGGCACTGGTATCATCACTACTGAGTGGGTGGTATTTGATGGCTGGACCATTTGTTAGTGCCTTAGCAAATCGTTTTGGTTTTCGCCCGGTAGCAATAGCTGGAGGACTGTTTGCCGCATTCTGTTTTTGCATATCATATTTTGCTCCATCCATTGAAGTTTTATTTATCACATATGGTGTTCTCGCTGGCATCGGATTTTCCATGGTCTATATACCGGCAGTTGTCATTATTGGTTTTTACTTTGAAAAGTGGCGTGCATTAGCAACCGGTATTGCTATGTGTGGATCCGGTGTGGGCACTATTGTATTTACACCGTTGACTGAATCACTGCTTAAGTATGGTTGGAGAATTACACTGGTAGTGCAAGGATGTATAATCGCCTTTTGTGCCATATTCGCATGCGCATTTAGACCAATTCAGCCAATTACGTTGACAGTGGATGAAGAATCGAATGAAGTGAAGAAAGAAAACGAGAAGCTTAATGGACATGGAAACATTGTTGCACCGAAACCGCAACTTCACCAAGCAGCTTTCACGAAGCCACTTCCAGAAGGTCGTTTCGCTTACTCAATGCCAAACTCGGCTCATAACACCTATATGGGTGCGTCACCAAAACATCATTATCCGACAGCGGCCGAAGTCTTCAGAGGTGCTAATATTGAGCGACGTCTTTCAAACTCTTCCGGTAAAGGTACTGAACTGAAGGCTTTACGAAAGTCGCAACCAACCACTCCGAATGGCGAACCGCATCCGTCTCAATTGCATTTCAATATTAATAAAGAGTTAACAACTGTTGGAGAAAATGAAGAAGAAACCGAAAACGAGAATTTGATTGAAACTGAGGTAAAGCCTGTTGTAATACAAGCACGTCGCCACACAGTGTCGGGCAGAAGGCCAAATGATATTACTGGCAAAAAGAGTGCAGTTGGATCTCAAGATACCGTTCATAATATTCATACCAGACCAATGTATCGTGATGATATTTTCTTTACTGGTTCTCTAGCGCGCATACCACAGTATCAATCACAAACGTCACTTGCCTATCATATGTCGGTAACACGTCTTCCAACAAAACAAGATATGCTGGAAGATCGCCAAAAAGGATGTCGTCTTTGCCCTGAAGCTGTACGACGTACTCTATCGACTATGTTAGACACATCACTGCTCAAGTCACCATCCTTCATGTGCCTGTCATTCAGCGGTTTTCTTACAATGATGGGTTTCTTCGTGCCGTTTATGTTTCTGACTCCACGTGCAATAGCCGCAGGAATGGATAAAAATAGTGCGCTCAGTGTAGTTTCTGGGATAGGCTTGGTCAATACAATTTCTAGGTTAGTTTGCGGTACAATCAGCTCAATTCCTAGCGTCAAACCTCTTTGGTTGAACAACATAGCAATCACGGCAGGTGGCCTAGCCACGATATTCAGTGGAGTGAAGGTGACCGTTGTAACTCAATGGGCATTTGCAATATTCTTTGGCATTTGTATTGCTTGCTTTTCGGCGTTGCGATCCCTCATTGCTGTCGAAATGATTGGATTAGAAAAATTAACGAATGCATTCGGGTTCCTCATGTTGTTCCAAGGTCTAGCAGCGACGGTTGGAGCTCCCATTGCAGGTAAATATAAACATTATTTATATACATATCGTCGCATAACTTTGGTTATAAAAATAAATTAATAGAAACGGGGAAAGATTTGACATTTAATTTTAGCTGCTTCCTCTCGCTTTAAATTATCGCCTTCATTCCACAAGGCATATTTGTTTAGCATATTCAGAGACCCAAACGGGGCTAAGCATCGTCTTGATGCCGATAACAGCTGAAGGGATTTTCGGTCAAGTGAAAATTGGTTTGAGGTCGCTTTATGCTAATGCTTTCCCGATTGCTGTGAATTTCGGGATCAATGATTAATTGTAGTTTCGAATGAATAATTCCCAATTTCAAAGTTTTTGACGGCTTGTTTTTATCAATCCACATATCTGAACACATCGTTTTATGGGGTATATAGAAATCGGAGATTTTCGGTACCAAAGCGTAATTTATTAGATATAAGCAATACCAAATTAAAACTCGGTCCTATATATGGTGTTGTGATCCGATCTGGCCGGTTCCAAAACATTATTGAAATATCTCAAAAACTCAGGGACTAGTTTGCGTACAGACGGGCAGACAGGCACAGGGATTTGACTAAATCAACTCGACTTACCATTTCGATCATATCGGTATAAATTTTAAGCAGCCGAGTCCGACCAACTTCCGAAAATTGAAGAAAAATTATTCTAATAAAAATTAAGTTAAATCTTGTTATTGTGGACGCCCCTCGGCAGGGAATGTCAATACGTCCGAGTGTATTTACAACATGAAATAAATGCTACTAATAAAAAACCATCAGCCGTTCGGAGGCGGCTAATTATAAACTGGAAAAACATCAAGACGCAAACCTTAAATTGGATTTTGAAAAATTTAAAGCATATTTTTTTGTAGAGAATTCAATTATTTCAAATTTTCTTGACAAATCTAAATGCTTAAATAAATCCATTTTTTTTTCAAATTAACCCAACAAACACGGTTGTTTTTTTATTAAAAAGCAAGGCTTCTAACGACCAAGCCGGTGGCAAAAGAGGTCAAGGGTGGTGCTACCAACACAAGTATAATATTTTACGTCAATTTTTTTCTTACTTTACTACTGCTATTCCTTGGACCACAACGCATGAAATCAATAACATTTTTTTCATTTTAGGTTTTCTATATGATCTGACCCAAGACTACAATGCTTCATTCTATTTTGCTGGCGGCTTGATACTCGTGTCAGCGTTTCTCTGCTACCCGTTGACATACATTGCGAACTGGGAAAAGGCGCGCAATGAGAGAAAAGCGGCGCAAGCTCCCCCGAGAGCCTAATTACAAAAATATGTACATATGTATATGTAGTTATTCATGAATTAGGTATAAAAAATTTAAATTTCAAATAACTGAGCCAACAAGAAATAATAAAAATTTAAGACTTGAACTTTAAAAGTTTTGTATGTACGTGTATGTACATACATATTTACTTACAAAAATATATGTATGTGTAAATGACGTTTACCAAGACAAAACTAAAGCTTCTTAACCGAAGTCAGGCAAATAGCTTAAATACAATTTATAAGTAATATTCAAAGGTTACGAAAATCTAATTATATTTTTTTTAGAGTATGTATGTATGAATAATACATACTTATGTTAGTTTTTAATAGCGATGAGTACGATAATATTAAATTAGATCACAGCGTTATATTATACATTTTTAATTTATTAATTTGTTAAAAACAAAGAATAAATTATACTTATATATTAATAATAATAAAACTAAATTAGAACCTCTTTCAGTGTCATATTTCTCTTAGTACGAACATTGTTGGTAATTTAAGTGATCAATCGATGGCCGGGAATACCCGCTATCTGCATTTCCACAACAGCCGGTTCTACGCACCGGAGCTTATCCAACGACCTTAACTCTTTCGGGGATCTAACCCCTTTTAGGTCAAAAGGTAAGTTTTGTCTTGGTAATTAGTGCTAACGTCGAACCCAAACCTATCCCAACACCCCTTTCCAAGCCCCCATACCCATATTTCAAACACTCTCCCTAGACAAACAAGACTTTTACAATTTAACTGCAATGGACTCCAGGGAAATATCGACGAAATAGTCGAACTCATGAGCCGGGATCACCTGCCGACATTTGTCCTCCACAACTGCTCAGACCTTCTGATCTCTAGTGCTCTTTCCACTCCCACTAATATTGTCATAGGCAAACGAGTATCTAGTCCAAGCCGATTTCGGAGATACCTGAAACTGGGAACTCAACTATGAGATTCAGCAGATGCTTAATTAAAATGAGCGAAATAAATTGAAGGCACACTTAAGTTACTGCAATCTCTCCTATGGGATAACCAAAATCATTGTCAAATCCGACGAGACGTACCCGGGCGGAAATTTTATTCGGAGATCACAACTTATTTGATCCGAAGAAGTGTTCATCTGATTATTGGACAGTTTAGACCACTATTTTTAATAATATTAATTAACTTAACGAAATGAAACCGTTTTGTTTTGGCACTCTGTTACAAAAACGAAATGACATCGTTAACGTTAATTTTAAAATTTGTGTTTGATAGGATTTCACAGCATACGAGTATTTACTTCACTTTTCACGTTTAACATCAACTGCTAACGGTTTAACAGCTTTTCGCTTCGGGTAAAATCGAAAAGAAATTTTTTGTATACCTGCGTCAACCGAATCGATTGAAATTTTTCCATTAAAGTAAAATTTATCGTTCCGATGCTGCCTTGAAATGAACCATTTCCCTGCTTATGTCAAGATTTTTGTTCTGGTTCCAGCACATTTGAATTCATAACACGTTTTGCTTCGATTAACAATTTGAAAAACACTTTAACTGCCAAACAAAACATGTTTTCTTTAAGTTAAAAGTCAGACACTTATGAAAATGATTCGGTTAACAGTCGCACAGTGAATTACAATCGTTAAAACCTGGTACTACTGGTGATTCAACCGTGGCCACGGCACATAATCGTCCAGGTACTCAAGCAATTGGTAAGATTTGTAAAAAGTTTGAAAAAGCTGGATCAGCTACAGATTTTGTAAGATATGCATCATCGTTCCACCTCAAATGTCGCTACTGTAAGTGAAAGTGTAGCCGTCGAGACTGACACTGACGGAGCCATGACATAGACAGTACATGGTTTCACCAACATAAAGCCACACAACAGGGGACACTTCGCGAGATTGTGCGATTTGACAGCCTTGGACTTTGGTTTGTGAACTACGCCAAGGACGCTATTTCTGCTGCTAAACTTATGACATAGGTTCTGCCCAATATGTGCCGATAAGTGGCCGAAAATTATCTCAAACTGATTAGTGTTTGCAATAATTAGTGAGACGGTTATTTGAATGATGCAATGTTTCGAAAGCGCAAAATGGATAGCCATATGTAAAATAAAAAAAAAAAACAAAAGAAAAGAAACGTTAGATTGTTAATTACTGTAAAATTTTTCTTTGAGTTATATGCTGATGCGCGTGTGACATTGAAAAATTATGATTTGTTATCAGTGGCGGCCGCAGTAGCCGAGTGGTTAGCATTATGCCATACTACCATTCGAAAGACCCGGGCTCAAGCCCCGGTGCGACCAATATCCAGAAGTTATTAAAAATTAATTTGAATAAAAAATTAAGTTAAAACTTCCAATTGCGGCCGCCCCTCCTTGTGTATTTCTGACACGAAATAAACCTCCTCATAAAAAAGACATCAGCCGTTCGGAGGGGACTTAGTATAAACTGTAGGTCCCTCCATTTGTTGGAAACACATCAAGACGCAAAGCCACAAAGCGACAAATTGGAGGAGGAGCTCGGTGAAAAATCGCCCTAGCGGTTACAAAGCGCCAATTATATATATACATATATAAGTGGGTCTAAATTAAAAAAAATATTGATTTGCTCTCTATACCTATGTATATACATATGCATATAAAGCTTGTATACAATAACTTTATCAAAATAAATCAGCTTTTGCAAATTTATTTATACATATGTACATCTTAATAATATAATATATGTAAGAGTGAGTGAAATTAATTCTTCCCATGTTTTTACATAGCTTCTATGGCATAGAAAACAATAAAGTACAATAGTCAGGGGTGTTACATAAACAGATTGTTGTTGGAATCAGAATTGAAACCGACAAAATTCTGTTGAAGACGTTACGCATTCCGATTACTAAATTAAATTCACCTCGTAGAGGTGATCCTCTTATGTTTTTTCTGCATTTCCAAGGCGACGATTAATCTACGTTCTTTGATTTGCATATCGGTTTCATTTTGAAACAGAATTTGTGTCGGTTTCAGGTTTTACAGAAATGTCAGAATTAAACCAATCACTTATTCGTTGCCAGATTTTTTTACAAATTTCTTAGCAAGCGGAAATTTAATAAAAATGTAAAACATGAACGATGGAATTTACAACCAGCAATGCCTGGAATACGGCACTTAATGTAAAAATGGACACGAGCTCACCATCTTCCATTGTCGTTCATTCCTAAAATTATCCAGCGAAGGCCACAGGCCGTTAATGGGAACCATCTGCCGAAAACCGCAGTGTGGCTGAAGTTGGAGTCTATCTAAGTAGTCTTCAATGACATCCAGCACTATTACAAAGGCTTCTTTGTTAGGACGATCTTGATGTATGAATCTACATACAAACAAATTTTGTATCATAAAATAGAATGCAAATTTTACTTATATCGACTCTGGCAGCTCCAGCGGATTGCTCTTATTCCTTGCAATTTTGCACTTTATTTTCTGGATTATTTCTTCAAAACTTTCTATAATCAAAAATGCGATCACTGCCAAAGTCATTTTATTTTTGATAATCACAAATGTGTGCACAAGTGTGATGACAGCTGATTCGAATATCCGTTTTTTTTATCTTCGAAAAAAGCAAAATCAAGTCGGCTTCATAACACCATTTCAAACAGATATTGATTTTCGATTCCGATAAATAAGCAATTCTGTATCGGTTTCTATAACATCCCTGGGCAATTTCATTTCCAAAAAAAAATTAAAAATAATTTAAACATAACAGTCTAAACGGAAGCCTTTAATTGTGTCATTTGGTGATGCAGCTCATCGGCTCATATTCGTGGCTTCCCTGAAATTGAAAGTCTAAGTAAAATAAAAAATGGATGTTTGAATCAGAATGCTATTATATCTAAATCCAATCGTGCCTTGCAAAGTCTTGTTTTTAGATTTGCTGATACCTGCTTCTGAACCCCTCAGTTCGTTCTTGCAGTCCAAATAAACGGCTGTTGTACAACATGTTGGCTAATTTTTAATGCATCGGTTCGGCACTCGGTGAAAACCATTGTAGAGTCTATTAAGTAACTCCCTTCTTTCTTTGCCTCCATGTCATTGTCGGTTTCTTTTATCGGTTGCTAAGATTATTGATGTAATTTTGCACAAGTGAAATGAAAAAAACTCGGTCAGCTGATCACAGCAGTGAGCTTAAGCCGGAAACAAGCGATAAGTTTTCCTACTTTAGACTTGAGTTGAGTTGATGCGGCTTATGCTGCCAGCATACTCAGGCCAATAAGCCCATTATGATACTGCTGAGGCTCCTGCCTTCATCTTCTCAGATGATCGAACCATTTCGTGTGCCTTATAAAGGCAACGAGATTTCCAATGACACAATCGAAGAAATGTTTCCCAAGAAATTTGTATCGCGCTGATGTCAAGGCTGGACAGTGGCAGAGGTAGTGCTTGATGGTCTCCTCCTCTTCTTCATCCCTGCAGCTGCGGCAAAAAAAATTATTAGAATGATGTCCCATTCTTTTCTCGTGAAGTTCCATTAAACATTGTCCAGTTATTATGCCCTTCGTTATGCTAATGGAGAACCGGTCTAGAAGGATAAGATGTTTGGATTTTTTCGCTTCCAGCTTCGGTCATAGCTATTTGGTCACGTTACATGTGATCTCGTTCAGTCATCTTGAGTCAGCTCCTCTGGTAAAAGCCAGTTTAACCATATGTTTTGCCGTGGACAGAGGTAGATCAGTATCGTGTGTATGCTTTATCGTGGGTAGAAGGGTTCTTTCCCTTGCTAGTTCGTCCGCCATGTGCCATTACATTGGAGAGATTTGATTGTAGCTTGACTGTCGGAGTATATTGTAACCGATTGTCTTGCTGCCATAGATTTATGCAACCAATCAGCAGCCTCCATACTGCAAATCTTCCAAGGTTGAGAAGCATTTAGTCTGATTGCTTTGCAGCCCGCTTGTAGTTTCCCGTTTAGGTCCATAGGAAGGATGTTGAGAAGAGTTAACAGGGCTTTCAAGGGAGTTGATGGAAGTGCCCCTGATACCAGGATAGCCATCGATTGTTGAACTCTCTCTAGTTTGCTCCTGAAAGTAGTTTTATCGAGTGCCGTCCACCAAACGGTGACGCCTTAGAATAGAATTGGTCTAACAGCCGATGTATAAATCCAGTGCACGTTACCCGAACTTAGACCCCAAGTTTTTTCTATCGCCATTTTGAATGCGTAAAGTGCAGTTTTAGCTTTCCTTGACCGTTCAGCCGTGTTCCGGCTCCAGTTAAGTTTGCTATCCAAGATTATGCCATTTAGTTTAGGTGGCTTAAAAGGAGTCGGTTTGTGCCTTCTGGTAAAAAAAAAAAATTCGGTGTGTTCAAAAAGTATCGCTAATTTTTAATTTTCGCGGGTTACGTATAATCGAGTTTCGATTTTTTTGTGGCGTTATTTTGGTACTCATGTCTATCACTTTGCTTCTTTGCTTGCACGTGTTTTGGATGGTCTTCGATTTTTACTGATTCAAAAAAATGGATCAAATTTTGTGTGAAAAACGAAATTAAGGGCGCGGATGCATTCCGAATGTTGATTGTGGCATACGAGAAGCTACCTTGGACTGAAGCAATGTATATCGGTGGTACAAAATGTTCTCAGAAGGCCGAGAAGATGTGAACGATGAAGAGCGTGCCGGACGCCCGAGCACTTCAACAACAGATGAAAAAATTAATGAAGTGGAGAGAATGGTATTGCCAGAGGGTAGAACGGTCAATAAGGAATATTACCTGCAAGTTATGCGCAATTTGCGCGAAGCAACCCACCAGAAACGCCCGGAGTTTTGGAAGAACAAAAATTGGCTTTTGCACCACGATAACGCCCCTGCTCAACCATCGTTGCTTGTGCGCGACTTTTTGGCCAAAAACAACACACTATTGATGCCGCAGCCACCGCATTCCCCAGATCTGGCCCCCTGTGACTTTTTTTTGTTCCCTAAACTGGAGAGATCCATGAAAGGACGACGTTACGCTACGATTGACGAGATAAAGACGGTATCGAAGGAGGAGCTGAACCAGATAAAAAAAAAAGAGTTTTTGAAGTGCTTCGAAGATTGGATAAACCGTTGGCACAAGTGTATAATATCTCATTGGGATTATTTTGAAGGGTACAAAATAGATAATCATGAATACATAAATAATTTTTGAAAAAACACAAAATTCGCGATATTTTTTGAATACACCTCGTATGTTTACCTGTCGCTGTTAGGGCAAAGTCATCAGAGTATGCCACCGGTGAATCCGAGTTTCGGTGCCTCCGACCAAATCGTGCAGGGCTGCGCCGACAGACTTACCTTTAGAGTACGCAGATTGCTCATTCGAGAGGCTCCCCGGGGGTAGATTCAGGCGTATGAAGCTATCAAGCAGCCTTTCAAAGATTTTTAAGAGGAAGGAGTTAAGACTAATGGGCCGAAAGTCTTTAGGACTGACGTGGTTGACTCTTCCTCCTTTTAGAATAAAAATTACCATGACCCTCCTCGCCTTGAGAATATATCCTTCACGTAGACAGGCCTCGTAAATAGAAGTGATGTCCTTAGCCCTCTGTATTTCAGCGGAGAAGATACCGTCTGGTCCTGGAGATTTAAAGGGCTGGAAATACGATGCTGAGAGATTCGCTCACCTATGGGATTTGGTCACACACGATGGAACATCCCGGAAAATGAGTTCTCATGAGGATATCCAGCATTTCATCACAAGATGTGGTTCATTCCCCATCCGGTTTCTGGATATAGTCTGGGATTGCGGAGCTCTTGCCTCTTTTTGGCTTCATTTAAGAGTTTTCGGCTTCTTTTTCTTAGCTAAGAGATTTCATACTTCCATTTTTTGGATTATCCTTAGGATCGATTATCCGACAATGTCAAAATTGCGCTTTCTCAGTACAAATTTTACTACGCGGTTCAGTAAAATTCTGCAACAATTGTTACTGCCCAATAGCTCGCTGAACACACTAATTGGTAGCCAAATTATTTCAATTATTAAGTAAGTCGTGACGAAAAAACTTTTATAATCACAGTTCTTGCGCCTCTCGATAGATGACCTGGCGAAGACACCGCTTACAGGAATATAGCCGAGTCAACAAAAGTGCAATTTTTGCTCTTGGCAGTTTGGCGCCATTTCGGGACACAAAATTGGAGCTGTTCTTGTGGGCTTAAATCCTTTATACAGTAGACGAAGTCGAAAGGCTTATGCTAAGAATTATTGATAAAGACTTTCGGGTTCCCCTGATTATAGTTTGGCATAATTTCGTCCGACTATATTAAGCACTCACCTTGTAAGTTCTCGCAGCCTTATTTGAATATTTCATCCGGAGACTGAGTTGTATTTTCACAGACATTCAGCGGTATAAATAAATGCTCCGCCCACAAACCCACTATACTCTGGTATTTAAACATGTCATCAAACAAAGTGATCGTATTCTCGACTCGCCTCTCACGTCACTGTTGTCAGTAGTATCTTTTAAGTCGTAGATAACTTCGTCTATCGGGGATTCAGTATTAACACCAACAACAATGTTAGCCAGTATTAACACCAATAACAATGTTAGCCTGGGAATCCACCTCAAAATCACTCTTGGACAGGGTAAGCAATTGAAAATAAAAGTCCCCTTTAGACGCACGAAGACCAAATTCTAAAAGTCGGTCATCGTTCCCTTCTTGTTATATGGTGCTGAGGCATTGACGATGACAGCACCTGATGAGTAGGCGTTAGGAGTTTTCGAGAGATAGGGTTTGCGTGAGATTTATGGTTCTCTAGGCTATGGAACTATATGCGGCGACATCGACTCAGCTCAGCGAATCAAGAAGCAGCGCCTGCCTATGCTAGGTATTATGGCGAGGATAGAAAAGAATATTCTAACTGTGAAAGTATTTGATGCAGTGCCCGCCAGTGGGAGCAAAGGAAGAGAAAGGCCTCCACTCTGTTGGAAAGACCAGGTGGGTGTCTGTATTTGGTACTTCCAATTGGTGCCAAAAAGCGAAAAGAAGAAATGAATGGACCAATGTTTTTAACGCGGCTATAATCGGGTACATAAAAAAAAGAAGATAAAGAAATGCTAGGAAGCGAAGTTTTAAAAGATTTTACGAGATTCTTTGCCCATCTTGGCTTTAAAATCGCCCAGCACGGTCTTGAAATCCTTGTAGTTGCATCACTTGTTAGAACGTTTTTCATTCACTGGAGTAAAAGTGATTACGCGGGAAGGGAGTCTCTCTCATCACAAATCCGATGACAGAGAGACTCATCTTTCTCTGTTTAACGCGACTATATCGGCCTTGTTTTCAGAAGGTCGCTAAACAGTGTCATCATCCAGTAGTAGTAAGTCTCCAAAGGACGAATTACCCAAAGGATAATTGATCTAAGATTGGCATTTGAACCAAATAGAGAACAATTATTTCTGGCAACTTTCAGGTGAATGGGGTCAAAAACTTTCCGCACAGCGGGAAGACAGATTTTCTGTCAATTTCATGACGATAAGAAGGACATTTTGGGGAAGGACATTGTTTCACAAGTATGTGATTCAAAGGAATTAAATGATTGGCGTAAACATCCCTTGCGTTTTTATTTTTTTGAAGATAGCAAATACGTTCATGCTCATTTTATTAGTTTTTATTAATAGGTTTTAATAATGAAAACCAAATTTGAAATAAATATGTAAATCACTATGTTGGACTTTTTATCAAAATTATGAAGTTATTTCGATGAGTTTTGAACAAGGACTAGACATCTGCATACGCGATGACAGATTACTTCTCCTGGTTAAGGGAATTAATAAATTCCTCTAATTTTTCTTGTATGTGCCGCACTTTGACTGGAACGAAAAGAATATATGTAATAAATATTTTATACTCTCAATCAATTCAACTACATACTCAATTCTTCAGCGAGAGTAACACGTTTGCCCGTTAATAATTGTGCCTTTTTTTCTTCATCATCACTGAACTCATCTAGAACCTCTTTAATCTCTTTATCTAGGCGGCGAGCTTCTCGGTTAATAACTTGCTGTCGCAAGGCATTCGACGTAACCTTAATTACTTGTTGAATTCTCCAAAAGAGAACAACATCACTACAGCTTATCTGAAAGAAAATAAAGTGATAAAAATTTAGTAGAAGTTTCAATTAATGAAATCCTAGGAACGCACCTCACATTCCGCCCCTTGTTGGCTGTAAAGATAATATGCTTTTCGGCAGTCATTTGCACGGTGCAGTGCTTGTTTTAGGAAATGCCTAAATGTCGAAGGAGAAAAACTCAATGAAATATTAATCAGTTTATAATCTGCATTACCTTCGGTATACAGGGAACCAGGTCTGACGAATGTAATCTGTATCCACCTCAATGCCATCACGCTGTAAGTTCTTTCGAACCGTCGTTAACTCATCATACGATAATGTGGGTAAGTGTTTCTAAATATTAAACAAATATATATATAACATATATATACATATTTGTGAAATTTGAAAGTATGAAAGAATCTCTTACATCGTCATTTTTCAATACTTTGTCTAATTCTGTTTTTACGTAACGTCGTTTTGATTGATCTTCTGTGAGTGATTTCCAATGGGTTATACGAGTAAATTGTCCGGGTCCCAGCATCTCATTCAAAGTTTCTTCAGTATGTGCTAACTTAGATTTTACAGATGTTTCCAGGAACTTGACAGCTTGGTCCCACTCGGTTTTATCATGTACAAACCTATCTTCTAATGTATTTAGCTGTATAACTCGAAGCATATCTATAGCCTTATCTTCCCACGAATGTCTCCGAATAGCCTCATCTACCACAGCGGCTTTAAGGTTGTCAAATATGTCGTCATGATCAGGAGATTTCTTTGCCTTTTCCATTAAATGTATAAATTCATTTTGCAAAGCTTCCCAACCTAAATAAAGCCACTGTAAAGTATTGTACTTTAATAGTTTGCTCGAACATACCTGCCTCCACAGATTTAGCCGGCAGAGCTTGCTCTGCCCATTGTCGCAATTTTATATCCACCATTGTATTGAAGGAATCTGGAATATATATATATATTTATATATATAAGTATCATGTCGAATATTAAAGCCGTGCTTATTGATAAAAAAGTAATGTTAACGATAATGATTTCAAGCACATTTAGATTCATAAGGCGATATACGGAATGTTATTAAATACTTATTTATACCTATGAATAATTACTACGTTTTGTTAAATACATTTAAATGTTATCATTTAAAGAAAGAACCAAGCTTGAATCCCTCAATTTGTGTGCCTGCACAAAAATAATTTAAATATTAGTCAATTCGCGACACATCACAAAGCAGGTGAAAATGCAATGCCGTCAAATAATTCTACACTACTCTAGTTTATATTTACATAATATTACTTTGAGAACCTGACTGTGCGGCCGGCAGGTAAATATTCTCAAAAACATAATTGGAGAGTTTATCCCACAGCTTTTCATTCAACGCTTCTTCCCATTTTTTTGCAGATATCTGAGAAAGTGTAACCACTTCATCCAGTATTTCTCCTTTAGCTTTATCAAACAATTCATCTCTTCCTGACTCCCGAAGCCTGCAAAACACCTTTTATTACCAATGTGCAACAATTAAAATAATCATTATCAATATGACTTACCGCGGGAAATTATTTTTCCATTCCGTTTCCAAATTAAATCTGGTAGCTTTAAATGCATCAGCTTGTTGTTCTATTGTTTCACGTACCATTTTCCAAAATCGATCAGAAACTGCCAAACTAAGATTTCGGCTAGTTACTTGATGTGGCATTATTACACCTCGACGACTAGAAAACTACTGCTTTAAAATTTCTCAAATATTGTTTAAATTGTCTTTACATACTGGAAGAGTTTCGAGTTTTTAAAGAAATCTTCTTCGTACTGTCTGATGGCATCAATGCTATCATCTTTTCGTCCTCGACCGGTCACAACAGCATAATATCCTAAAGCTTTCATTGGGAACAATTTGCCAGAAAGAATCTTTCGAATCTGTAATTTTTTTAATATTATTATTCAATTTACAAAAAAAAAAAACCAAAGTTACATACTCTATCAGGATCTGCAAGCTCTTCGGCTAAATCGACTTTGGTTAGAACAAATATGGTACGTCGGCCCAAAGGATCACACTGCATTACCAAATCAGTCACATTACTCCGCTCAGCATCAACTGAACCATCTTGAATGCATAAAATAATTGCATTTGGATTACTCATATAATGTTTAGTCATTTGATGAATTGAATCCTTTGTATCAGCCGCCATATCGACTGTCATTGTCTGCATAGGTACGAAATTCTTTTAGTATCATAATATACATTAGTTGAATCTACATTTCCTTACCGATATTATTCCTGGTAAATCTACTAAAACCATCCTTTGCAGCCCGGGACCTTTAACTGTCATTGAAATTACCTCATTGCTAACTGTTTTTCCACCCCGGACCGAAGCCCGCATTCTTAATTCTACTTCACGGCGAAGCTCCGATAAGTCAGACTCCTTATTTAAATCATATTCACGGTCTGAGTCACGAAATTGGGCAACGTGATATGGTCCCTCTGCGAGTGTTACTTTTACTGGCGCTCTTGTCATCATTTCACCACTACCTCTTGGAAAAATACGTGCCTTAGCGATAGATTCTAACACCGAAGTTTTGCCACTGCTCTGATCGCCAACAACAACAACGCGTGGCAAATGATCCGCCATGGAATAACTTGTGTCATAGCCTGATAATTCATCTAGAACCTCTGAATACATATCAATAAGCGACTTTTTTATCTTTTTCACCGTTGTCTTTTTATTCGTTTTTAATATTAAGTATTGTTGTCGCAGCTCTCTATTTTCACGCTCCATTTTTTCTAATTCTTTTTGGTATTTTATTTGCACGTTCATAATTTCCGTTTGCAATGTTTCTACTTGACTTTGCAAATTTTCTAAAGAAAAAAAATACAAAAATCAATATATAATATAGTAATACACTTTTTTATTCGACTCTTACCATATTTTTTGCGACTGTCATCATTCGAAAGGCCTAGTGCCGAAACTGATGCCTTTGATTTAATATCGTCTTTGGCTATGTCGTATTATAAATGTAAAAAAAATAAAATTAGTTTAATGGTTCTAATTAAATTATTGTATGAAAATATGTGCTTTGATATTCTCTCACTTTAAAATGCAAGATAACATACATTCAATAATACTAGCATTATTGCCTTGATAATCTGCTGCCTCAATAGCATCGTCCAGACGATTATCGAACCATATTTTCCACTCCGCAATTTTCTCTTCGCTGAGTTCTTTTAGCTTAGGATCTAAATGCGAAAACAAACCCACATAAATTACACATAAAATTTATTACTTTATTTGTCTAACTATAGGCTCATTAGAATGATATTCAATAAAATGATTTAAGTCATAGTTAGTAATGGTCTAACGAATAATTATGAGCAAAGTTTTTCAGATTGATAAGTAAAGTGAGAGAAAATCAAAACCGCACTTTTGTTACAACTCTTACCTATTTGCACAACATCCTTCATAACACCACCAACTTCCATTAACTTTTTCGAAAAGTTACTCCACTTTTCACCTTGTGGCAAAACATCTTCTAACCATTTCATATCTGGTAGACCATCTTTCCACTCTTCATATTTCTGCCGGCAACGAGGTACCAAATAAAGTTAACACTTGTTTTAACATAATTCTATACATACGTACTTTACTTAGCGACACACCACCTCCGATCGCCCCTCCAAGTACAATATAACGCAGTTTTAATGCTCCGCGTAATATTCTGACCACCAGCATACCATAGTTACGTGATGGAGGCACATACCAACCAAATCTTCCGTTTTTTAGAGGATTTAGAAACCCATCTTGAAGATGTTGTCCCTGGGTTTGTTTGCCATACTCTTCATAGTTTTGTCGACGTGCAGTTTTATTACATAGAGTGGAATGATTGGAACAAATTATTTTTGTGCACAGATATGTGACTCGCTGAGTTGTCCCTCTAGAGGATGAAATAAAATGAGCAAAACGATGACGACATATAAGTACACTGCCATCAAATAACTGTTTCATAATCTACCATATGCGTCAGACTTACCGGTGCGACTTGTTAAAAGTTACCCGTAACATAATTAGTACTGGTACTTTTCAATGTAAACTAGAAGAAATTAATATCGTAGCCAAAATTACAAATTACTTAGTAGAACTGAAATTTTCACAAGTGTGAAAATTATTCTACTCTATTTCAGCTGATTTTGGTGCACCATGAGTGACATCTGTTGTAGTTACCAGACTGTTTAAACTGCATTGTCTACGGATTATTTCCGTGGTGAGAACTCATCTTACCCCATGTTATACCCGCACACATTTCAAAGGCAACGTAATTTAAGAAGTTTTTCTAAACTCACCATAGCTTATGGATGATGCAAATCGAGATATTTGTAGCTATTAATCCTTTCAAGAAAAGACACGTAACTAATTATATTGGTACGTTCAGAACGTGCATAATGCATGTGACTTTTGCGATTTATTTATATTACTAATAGAATATTGCATTGAATATTAGATATACTTTTAGGTTTAAATTAATTTAGTTAAAATATCTATTTATATATTTTTTATGAATTCTGCCTCTGCATAAGTTGCTGGTTCTGCTGACACTTGCGGTATTAAGAGAAATTTACTACGGGAAAGTATTTGCCTAGCTTACGAATCTTCTTCATGGTAACAAAACATTTTGAGCCAGTAATCTGAATCGCTTTTGATAGACTTTTATCTTCGAGAATTATGTCAATATCTTCTATTGTGTTCAATTTGCAAATGCTACCACGTATATTCACGGACTTTTTATGGGAAAAAATGGAATTGTTCTTAAATCTTTCTGAATCAGCACAATTCAGTTCTTCATCGCATTCCTCTTTAGTTTCTGCAACTGTTAATGTGTTGACATTAAAGAGAGAATTTCTTAGATCGATTTGCACGTCTGATGTAAAACACTTTTGGCGGAATTCATATTCCTGTGCCTCTGTTATGCGATCTAACGATTGACTCTCTCGAACCCGACGTCTGCCAGTCCCTATCAATAACGATTCTGATTTCAAGTTATTGCATGCGCGGTTATTCTTTTCTTTATCGTCTTTTTGTGTTTTCTTATATCGTTCGGTATGGGAATTGCAGTTTTTCCTCGTGTCATCCGTTTTATTTTGCTGAAAAATAATAATAAAATTAATACAGTACGTATTTTTAAAAGAGAACCGCGGTAAACCACTACTCTGCCAGTTTTTTATTGCAGAAAACTTCGGACTCAAGACGGAAACAATTTTCTAATTACTTGGGATTACTAAGAAAGATTTGTCTGGAACCTTCAACTTCATTTTTTTTTATAAATAACGATTATTCGAAACATAAAATAGTATTAAATGACAAAACTATTATTACTTCCTTTTGGTACCTATCGCCTTGCTACTTGATTTTGCAAATACGACGACGGCATAATTTTAACTGGACTTAAATATTGCTTACAAAAATTACATATTATCGACTTTTCGACTTATTTCGGTCAGGAATTTTGCTCAATGTTGTTGTTGTTATAGCGGTTGATCTACCCCGCTTAGGGACAGACTAGTTAGACTAGGTAACCAAAGTCATCTACCAGTAGGTCCAGGAAGCGAGCTGTTTCGAAGGGGTTTTGGATCAGAAGGAGTGGGAGATTGGATGTATCGGTTTTAAGGGAATGAAAAGAGATGGTTGGTAAGTGTCGTGCGGGGACTCATTACATGCCAGGCATATGTTGCTTATGTTGGGGTCAAGTCTTTAAAAGAAGGAGTTTAACCTGCTATATTACCCAGACCTAAGTTGCGCCAGTATTATGCGGGTCTCCCACGCACCGGAATTTACCCGGATTTTATCCGTCCAAGGGCTGTTACCATTTCGGCGGTCTAACCCCGTTTAGGTATTTTATAAAACATTTAAATTAGTATTTACCTCTTTATTAGATTTCTGTCCTTCCTTTTTTCCGCTTGCGCTTGTATTACTATTAGAAACTATTTGTGACGATGGTATTTGTGATCCAGATGGAGGACACGATTGATCTTGTGAATCACTTGAGTCATCATGTGAGTCGCGGCGGTGCATGCGAAATCTTGTTGGATTATCACCAACAAATTTGTTAATCTTTTTCTTACTACGCGCTTTAGTATCGTCATCTGATGCCTCAGAGCTACTACATGATGGTGTTCGTATTTTACTTAATTTACTACGTCGATGGGTCAGTACAGGGTTTTTATTACTCATGGGCAAGGTATTTAATTTGCCTATTTCGAGGTCTTTCATACGCTTTAAAGCGTCGTCCATTGCTGGTCCTTTAGATGTTCTGTAATTTAGTGCGTCCATTTTCGTATTTTTATCACATACGGTATGATTTTCTATTTGGTTAAGCTTATGAACTAATGTAGCATCAATCGACGCAGTCATTTTTGGACGATCATCCTGTATTATTGTATTTAACTTTGTCCGCTCTTGAGCCACGCAATTTAAACGGCCATCTGATATGGATTCTCGTCGAGTAACAGCTACTCGTAATTCATTTCCGTCATTTGCATTCTCGTACCCAGACTCATCTTCGTCTTCTTCACGAACAATACTGCACTTCCTACTCCTTTTATCCTAAAATATAAATATATAAAAATTTATGGATTACAGACATTTAGGAAGTTCTTTAAAAATCAAAACAGTCAACTAACATTTTTAGTCTCCGCTGCAGTTTGAGTTACGGTATTTATAGGCAATGCAATTTTATTTGAATTTGTTGGTTTTATCTTCAAATCTGGCATCTGCACTCGCTTTGTTTCTGAAATGTTAGTTCTGGAAAATAATAAATTTGAAAGTTGAGCTGAATTTTAGATAAATTTGAGTTTGACAAGAAACATACTTCGCCGCTACAACGTCAGGTAAAAGAATATGTATAGGTTTTTTTGGAAAATGTTCTTCACGGCGTTTACGGAGCCTCAACTCTGCCAAAAGGAAGTATGTTGCCGTAATATGATTGTACTGGTTTTTATCCAACGCGCTATTTGAATTTTAATTTATTTTTAAATATTTTAAAACTTCTGTAATTGGTATAACAATATTTTTACTCACAGTAATATATCTTCTTTGGGTGCAATGTTTCCATTTATCATTTTCTGAATAATGAAAGCATGATCATCATCACTGAGTTCTTGTCTGCTTATCAATGGCAGACTATCAGTCGCATCAAAATCAGATATTTCATTCACCCAAGGGTGCGCCGCAATCTGTTCGAGGGTAGCACGGTTTTTTGGGTCACGCACCAACATTGAACTAATCAATTGCTTGCATTGTGAAGATATTTGAGGTGGTACAGTGTATTTACAATCCATAATCATAGTAAGCGTTTCAGAATCATTTGCTTTTTCAAACGGAGGCTGACCACAAACAAGCATATACAGTATTACTCCTAATGACCATATATCTGAAGGCAATTAAAAGCAGAACATAACCTTAGTACTTTTAATAAATATGATTTTATACTCACCAACTGCTGGTGCATCGTATGAGTCTCCAAGAAGAATTTCTGGGGCGGAATAAGCCAAACTACCACAAAATGTTTCTAGTTTTTGTCCTGGGGAGAACTTATTACTAAATCCGAAATCAGTTAATTTGACAACACCAATTTTTTCAAAAAACACAACATTTTCGGGTTTCAGGTCTCTGTGAATAAACAAAATTTTAGTACGTTGCAAATAAGCAAACTAAGAAATGTGTTTCTGAAAAACTAAAACTTAATTGACTAAAGATTGATACTAGTCCTTTCATTCATTACACATATTTAAAGTTCATTAACTTACCTGTGCACAACATGCAACTGATGACAGTAAGTAATAGCCTTTAATATTTGCTTAAAATATTTCCGAGCATATTCCTCACTGAGTCCACCCTCGTGCTTCATTATGTAATCATACAGATCGCCACCATCCCCCAATTCCAAAACCAAATAGAGCTTTGTTGGTGTATCAATAACTTCATAGAGTCTTACTACGTTGGGATGCTGGACCAGCTTCATACATCTACATGTCACAATGCGATAATTATTACAAATTATATTTATCAATGTCATTCATAGATCCTACCTTACTTCCTGAAACAAATGAGCCTTAGAGATTTCATCTAACTTTGTCTTATCTACTACTTTAACAGCAACTTTAGCACCAGTAAAGACATGACGAGCAAGCTTTACGACAGCAAAATGTCCTGAACCAAGGGTTTCTTCCAAATCATATAACCCCGCTATTTTACCATCGTAAGAACCACCACTACCACTGGGCAAAGACTGGATTTGCGATGCGGATGAACCAAATGCCATATTTTCTTCAGAGTGCATGCCTAAACTTTTTCAATTGCTATCGCAGCTGTCGTTTTAGAGGCACAATATAGGCAATAAAGGTGGTACAGACACGAAGTAACACAAAATGCTTACCACATTCGGATTATATGCAGGTATTGGACATTTTTAACTTTCTTTTGTGTGCTTGTGACGCCGACCGGGTTCAAATTTAACTTTTGCTAGATATTCGGGACTAACTTAGCTTATGCGTTATAGGATGGGTGTCAATAAAGCAACTATAGGTTGGTGCAGGTTTCGTGACCTATGCGTAGATTGAATTGGTTTTTGTTACTTTGAGCTTTTACCTCTACCTTAATATTTCACACTTTAAATTACTTTTCTAATATTATTTATAAAAATTCTGCTCAAAAAGTTTCTGTAATGAAACTAATATCTGTATGCGATGAGCTTTGACAGTAGCAAATCAAATGCAGAGAACTTATAATTAAAGTTATGAAGTTATAAGTTCTCTGTCAAATGCAGCTATCAGAATATTGCCAGACCGAACAAATATTTCCTTAATCTCAACACATAATGAGATTACAAAGGCTATTTCAAAACGCAGCACGTAATTATCATGCATTTGTAAGTACATTATAGTGCTGAAGTTCAAAAAGCACTATCTACCCGGGATTCAGTATCTTGTAATAGTCACTTGTATCAAAATTTTGTAGAAACTATTTTGATACCATAAATATTTAAAGAATTCAGAGAAAATCTGCTGCTTCTTCTTTAATGCACCTTGCAAACACCAAGTTCATTAAATCTTCTTTGAACACACAGCTAGTAACTCTCTGTGCACATAGTTTACTCTCTTGTAAGCACAAAGTTTACTAAATTCACTTCACTTCAATATTGCCTCTTCTAAATTTACATGTCACAAGTATACGCCTTCGCTCTTAAGTTCGAACATGATCCCAGTTGCATTGTAATCTCGGAAAAAGGTCTTTCTTTCATTGAAATACGCAATATTTCATTAACTCTTTGATCACTTCTCAAAGAACCGGTATTTGATATTGTGCAATTCCAGGTAAATGGGTTTTGGAATAAGCAGGAGTATAAGCACCAAGTATCTAAAAGCAATTACTTTCTTATTCGTTATCAATCCATCTTTAGCTTATCGTCAATTGTAGCATTTTCTGTTTTTGACTTGGTGAATGTGCGAACGAAAGTCCTTGAAATCGAAACGGGTAATAACGGGCGCGCCATGGCATACTCGTAACCTAATACTTTCTTATTGATGAAGTTTGAAGTTGAAAGGGCCAAAACGAAGTACATCTTGAAACTGAGAAATCATCCCAACCCATTAGCTAACGCTTTGTGCTACTCATCTGGGAGTACCCTACTGCGACATGATGTTCCCGCCTACTAATGGGAACACTATAGTTTGAAAGAAGCTCTGACTTAACTCGAGCTAACATGTCTTTAATTAAGGTTTAAGATCTAGACTTCGTGTTAGGCTAAAGTTGATATAAGCAGATTCTGTAGTAAACAATCTGCTGGAAACTCAAATAATACCAGAAAATGTACATATGTAAATCGAAATACTGATAAAAGAGTTTAGAAAAGTGGCAATATTGTGCTTACTAGATCTTTACTAGATTGCAGGAAGATTTGCGAAACTTAGCAGTAGTTTCCATTGGATTTTATGTGTTATTCGGGGATTTATAATTTGTAATATCTACTTATGGCTCAAAAAAGATGTAGGATGTGTCCTCATATTGGCAATGAGCATGTTCTCGAAATAAAAAAGCTTGAAAAGGTAAAAGTGCTGTCCTTGTTTTGACTAGTTTCTATAACGGTTCTGCAATATTATTTGGAACAGGTGAAGTCATGTGCGGATTGTGATTATTCCGGGCCAAACTTATGGATCTGCCTCCAGCGCAATTGCTTACGGGTGGGATGCTCTGAACAGGCTAATGACCACAGCACTGAACATTTTCAGCTTAATAACTGCCATTGTCTTCACATGAACATGTCATCGCAGCGTTTGTGGTGCTATTTATGTGAACGAGAAGTTTTCATTGATGTTAAGCCAACATTGATAGAGGACCCTTTCATTGCTGCGATTCGGTCTGCGGTGGCTTCACCTAGAGACGAAAAAGATAGTGAAAGCAACGAAGAAAATGAGATTGAAGATACAAATACAATTTCTTCGGGTTTGGTGGGATTACAAAACATCGCTAATACTTGTTATATGAACTCAGCTCTGCAAGCCCTTAGTAACGTACAGCCCATGACACATTATTTCCTGAACTGCAATGAATTGGTAGAGCACATAGTTGAACAAAGTTCACATCGCAATAAAGTTGGACTGGCTAAAAGCTACCAGCGATTAATACATGATATATGGAGCAAAAATGATGTAGGAAAAGGTAAGTACTGAGGAATTTCCTTAGATTCATGTTTAACATATACATGCATTGGTATTATTTTATTTTAGACTACATTGCACCTCGAGGAATACTATATGGTATTCGGAGTGTTCACCCTATGTTCCGTGGATTTCAACAACACGATACCCAAGAATTTTTGCGTTGTTTTATGGATCAGTTACATGAAGAGTTAAAAGAAAATACCCCCGTTTTACCGATAATGCCTTGTATTACCGCTGAGATGGCAGATTTCAAAAACTCCGATGAGCAGTTTGATACAGACTCTGTTTCGCAGTCTAGTTCTGTGTCAGACTCGGAGTATGAAACATGCGATAGTAGTCTTTCTCAACATTCAAATCAAGTAAAAGAACAGCTGACTTCATGTAGCACTGAACGAAACCGGAGAACGAGGAAAGCCCACTTAAGTTCTACACAGCCACACTCAGTAGTTCATTCCATTATAAGTGATATATTTGATGGAAAGTTACTTTCTTCAGTGCAATGCCTTACTTGTGATCGAATATCAACACGAGAGGAAACATTTCAAGATCTTTCTTTACCAATACCGAATCGAGATCATTTAAATATGCTACATCAAACTCATAGCTTAAGTGCTCAAAGTCTTAATTCGATTGAAACATTGGCACCAAGCAATGCCGATGGATGGTTCTCTTGGTTTTGGAAAATTTTTCGCGCTTGGCTATGGGGCCCTTCAGTTACATTATATGATTGTATGTCAAGTTTCTTTAGTGCGGATGAACTTAAAGGTGACAATATGTACAGGTATTTATTGAAGACAAGCTGTTGTTTGTTAGCTTCATTGTTTCTATTTATTATCTTTATAGTTGTGAAAAATGCAATAAACTGAGGACTGGTATTAAGTATTCACAAATTTTGGAACTACCAGAAGTTTTATGTATTCACTTAAAGCGGTTTCGACATGATTTGTCATACAGTTCAAAAATATCTTCACCAGTACATTTTCCGCTTGAAGGTTTTGATATGAGACCTTACTTGCATAAAGATTGCAAATCTACTGTAACTGTGTACAATTTGGTTTCTGTTATTTGTCATCACGGCACTGTAGGCGGTGGTCACTACACGTGCTTTGCTCGAAATCCTGTAACGGATCGTTGGTATCAATATGACGATCAACATGTTATAGAGGTAGCACCCAGTACCGTTCAAATTTGTCAAGCTTATGTTCTCTTTTATCGAAAGCACAACCCTCAAATGGATTTAGTAAGAGCAAAAGCAAGCGAAATTTCTGCACTGAATCCGGTACATACAGCCGAAATACGTTTTTACGTTGCTCGTGAATGGTTATCTCGACTTAGTACATTTGCAGAACCTGGACCAATCAATAATTGGACAATATTGTGTTCTCACGGTGGACTTTTGCAGTCAAAAATGGCATTGATAGATCAAATTGCAGTACCAATATCCCAGCCATTATGGGACTATCTGTATTGTACATTTGGTGGTGGCCCAGCTATAAACATGCTGTTCGAATGTGAAATATGCAAAAGAGCCGCCGAATCTTTAAAAAGACGCCAAATTTACGAATTATGCGTATTCACAAAATTTACTGGCATGGATACAGAACTTGATTGTGGTGCCATATATGCCATCTCAATGCCTTGGCTACGTAAATGGCAACAATTTGCCCGTGGTATGACACATAAAGAGCCAGGACCCATTTCCAATGCCAACATTGCCCTGACAGATGCCAGTCATTCATTGCCAGTGCGACAAGTACGCCCAGGATCCGACTATGCACAAGTGAACGCCCTCTTATGGCGATTCTTTTATGGCATTTATGGAGGTGGGCCAGAGATAATGCTTCGGGATTCAATTACTGATGAGGTAAAGTTCCCCGTAATAAAGTTTAATGGTTTCCATAATTTTGTTTTGTTTTCAGATTGAAATAATTGATCAAGATGAACAATATGACAGTGACAACTTTGAAGATAAAGTAGACATTTCGGATACTGAGAGTAATATAGGTAATATGAATAGTGTTGAGTTAAACGAATCGAAATCGATGCAGGAAAACGGAGTTTTAAGTAATAGAAGCTCCGATGATACTACTCGTTCCCCTACGCTACGTTTTTCTCATGAAGATGGTAAAGAATGCAAACATGTGAAACATTTCGGGACCAATGGCAAAAAATTACGCCCACCATTGCTTAGAAATAGTCTTCGAAAAAAATCAGCAAAAGGGCGAAAAGCCATAAAGAATGCATTTGGGCCAACTGGTAAGAATAGAATTGAATTTTTAAACTTGATGTGCTCAAAATCTCTTGTTTTGTATAGGTAATTACAGTTTTCGAAAAAGTTTCGACACTGTAGAACATGTTACGGAGGAGATAGTGCATTCCACGCATGTTGACCTCGAATCCGATTTACAACAGAGCGCATTTATTATAAATCAAAATCAAAATCAATCATTCCCAACTGAAAGAAAGTCAAAAAAATCGAATTCAAAACACACTCATGAAGGCATAGGTTCTTATTCTGAAGATATTGTGGCCATACATGCGGGGCATAACAAAAATAGATCAAAAAGTAAAGATGTTGTCACACTTCAAAAATTTATACAATTGCCAGAATTCAATGAGTCCACCGAAACTGATATTTAAGATTATCTTTCATGTAGTCATAACAAAAGTAGTTGAGTTAATTCTACTGGGCTATAAATCTATGTATTTTTATATTCGTAAGTGTTTTATATTTATGTAAATTTGTCTATATATGTACATATGTACTTCAATAAAAATGTGTCGTTTAGGTAGAGGCTACTGTATGCAGTGATTCAATTTTACGTGTTATTTTTATTTAGGGGTTTGAACTTCATCCAATAATTGATAGATAAAGTGTGGGATGGAGCGTTGTCATAATGCAAAAGTAGCGCCTGTTTTTCAAAAATAATTTCAAATCTTTTGAGAAGCACTCTTCGGTGTACCATTATGCCGTTACTGTCTGACTCTTTTGCAGTGGACTAGCAGCTACGTTTTAGATCGGGTGAAGTAAACTCACATCATTACTTTGCTGGCCTATTTTGGTGCTTAGATTTTATGGGTGGGATCGTACTTGTAGAACCAAGATTCGTCAGAAGACAGAAATTGCTAGACTGACCATTTTCGGATTTGTTTAGGAAACATTGAGCAAAATTGACTCGAGCTTCTTTTTGGGCCTAATTTAAAATTCATGGTACCCATCGAGCAGATTTCTTCGTGTATCCCAGATGATTACTTAATATTTGCGATACAGCCATGGCATTCAAGCTCAATTCATTAGCAACTATTTCTTGTGCCAATAATAGGTCTTCGTCAATTTTGGACCTCACCAGAGCTACAGTGACCTATCCTCAGCTATCTTTCCTTTTCTCCTCTCCAATTTATTCGATCGTTCTAGAATTTAAAAGGAAGACTATTAAATTAATTGCAAAGAATTTGGTATTTTTAGATTTAGCTAAAACAAATTGAAAGTCACCAACTCACCCAACTTTAGTTAATATATTCGCATAATTGGAGCTCTATAGCCGCTAAAGCGATTTTCGGCCGAGATCCTGCAATTTGAATTTTCGCGTCTATTTTTTTTAAGCCGACCTAAAACGGCTGATAGTTCTCTGTGAGCAATTAGAAAATGTTTCTATATTTTTTATTTAAATTAATTTTCTAAAATTTTTGAATGTTGGTCTCGAACAGGACAGGACCCTGACATCAAAAAATTTTAGCAGTTTTTGTTAAAACTTTTGGAAACAAAATTGATATCTTTAGTTTTCTGGTCTATTACTTAAATGTCATCTTAATATGAACCCTGCAAGAAGGCTTCCGATCATTTGAGTCCACATATATCAGGAATGCATGACGACATATCCTGTCAGCTCGTAGAACGATTTTCTATCACTTTCTTAAGGCCGAAATGACAAACGTGATGTTTACATTGGTGTACGTGTGCGTCATTCTCTCTTCTTTTCCTTGTGCATAGTTTATTGTTTGTAGGACACAAAGAGGTGATCTAGCCACCGATGCCGACTGGTGTACGCCGATGATATGGAGATTATCGGTCTCAACAACCGCGCCGTTAGTTCTGCTTTCACCAGGCTTGATAAAGAAGCGAAACGAATGCTTCTGTCAGTGAACGAGGGCAAGACGAAATATCTCCTGTCATCAAATAAACAGTCATTGCATTCGCCACTTGCCTCCCACGTCATTGTTAACAGTCATAACTTTGAAGTAGTAGATAATTTCGTCTACCTAGGAACCAGCATTAACACCAATAATAACGTCGGCTTTGAAATCCAGCGCAGAACCACTCTTGCCAACAGGTGCTAGTGTGGACTGAGTAGGTAATTGACGACGAAAATCAAACTCTACAAGTTCCTCATCGTTCCCGTCCTGTTATGTGGTGGGAAAGCATGGACGATGACAACATCTGATAAGTCGCGCGTTTTCAACGGCGAATATCGTAGAAGATGGAACGATGAGCTGTATGAGTTATACGGCGACATGGATTTATTTCAGCGAATCAAGAAGCAGTGGTTAAGCTGGCTAGGTCATGTGGTCCGAGAGAATGCAAATACTTCAGCTTTGAAAGTTTTCGATGCAGTTCCCGCCGATGGAAGCAGAGGAAGAGGAAGACCTCCATTTCTTTGGGAAGACCAAGTACAGAAGGACCTGACTGTACCAGGTATTTCAAATTGGCGCCAAACAGCAAAAAAAAAGACTTTCGGCCGAGCTCCCCGTCCGATTTGTCATTTTGCGTCTTGATCTTTTACCAACAAATGGAGAGACCTACAGTTTATACTAAGCCGCCTCCGAACGGCTGATGGTTTTTATGAGGAGTTTTGTTTTTCATGTCAGAAATACACACGGGGTGGTTGACAATCCCTGCCGAGGGACAACCGCAATTAGAAAGTTTAACTTATTTTTTTTAAATTTGTTAAAAAAAAATCATTGTAAAAAGCTTTCGTATTTTCACACCAACGATAATTGCCCGTATGTAGGCTTTTGTCGGCCACTGTATATCACATATGATTTGTTTCCATTTCAACAATAGCAATAAATTAATAAAATATTCAAACGTTAAGAATTGCTTTAGAAAGAAGGTACCTGGTATACCTCTGATGGTAACAACACTACAACATCACCATAAGAAAAGCCACAAAATAATGAAATATTAGTGGCGTTCAGTTAAAAAATTTAAGCCCCTGCTGGGTTTTTGTTCAAACAAAATTGAACAAATTCTATTGTAATGATAAATTAATATTGCTGGCTTACACGAAGAGCAATTCCAAACTCATTTTCGTATTTCAATTATCCTTCCTGAAAGTCTAAAATCTAAGCGACAAGTTGCTTTTAAAGCAAGTTTCAAATGAACCTTCGTCTCTTCAGTTTCGTAGTTTCTGAAATACAATTAATAAATTAAAAATTTTATATCATTGCCTACTTTATTAAAATACTTAGGAAAATACTTAAAAGCTGAAAAATAAATAAACGAATTCAAATGTAACTGACAAAAAAAGAACAGTTGTTGTACAAGTTACTGGCTAATTTTTACTGAATCAGAGAATTTATAATAATGGCTAATTGACCAAAGCTGTGCTCGTTGAGAATTGAGAGAAAAAATCAGCTAGTAACGAGTTTGAGAGAGCAAGAGAGAAATTTACTGAGTTTTCAACGAAAAGGATTCAGCAGGGAACTTTTAATAATATAATATAATTATTGTAAGTTCTCTGCTGCTCGTGCATTTGAGCAACGAGTACTCACACACTCGTTCAATGATCATTGCTTAAAAATTTTCGGTCTTGAGCTCGAGCAATTAGAGACTTTTTTCCCAGAATTTTCTTCTATAATTTAAATTTTTTTGTGCAAAGTGTAAAACTCATTGAAATACAGAGAAATCTTGACAAGCAAAATTGAAATTTGCTCACAGTGCTCTACACCTTCAAGAGCCAATGAACCAGAATGCTATCAAGATTACAAAATTGTATTACATAAACAGTCTTTTAGCTTCCATAGCGATACAAAAGACTAATTTTCCTGTGTCTATGAAGAACTTAGCACTGGACAAAGTCATTACCATTTTGGAAGCTGCTTGGGATAGATTGAGACAGGCACTCCTGCTAATTTCTGGAATAATATAATGAACATTATCGGAAATCATGAAGATCCAGATAACAATATTCCATAAAATATTCTTAAAATAAAGTAAAATGGGGTAATTAGTTCTGCGATGGATTGCACAGTTGTACTACTTCGTAGTGTAGATCCTCAGGTTTGAATTTTCATGCATACGAGGTGTGCTCAAAAAGTATCGCGAATTTTGAATTTTCGCGGGTAACGTATAATCGAATTTCGATTTTTTTTGTGGCGTTATGTTGCTACTCATACCTGTCCCTTATGCCGACAAGCTCGGCCATTTTGAATGTTCACTTAATTGTTGATAGCTGTGTGCTTGCACGTGTTTTGGTTGATCTTCGACTTTTACCTATTCAACAAAATGGATCAAAGAACCTGTATCAAATTTTGTGTGAAAAACGAAATCAAGTGCGCGGATGCATTCCGAATGTAGACTGTGGCATACGGAGAAGCTACCTTGGACCGAAGCAACGTTTATCAGTGGTACAAAATGTTCTCAGAAGGCCGAGAAGATGTGGACGACGAAGAGCGTACCGGACGCCCGAGCGCTTCAACAACAGACGAAAAATTTAATTGCAGGGGCGTGGTGCATCATGAGTTCTTGCCACAGGGTAGAACGGTCAATAAGGAATATTACCTGCAAGTTATGCGCAATTTGCGCGAAGCAACCCGCCAGAAACGCCCGGAGTTTTGGAAGAACAAAAATTGGCTTTTACACCACGATAACGCCCCTGCTCAACCATCGTTGCTTGTGCACGACTTTTTGGCCAAAAACAACACACTAATGATGCCGCAGCCAGATCTGGCCCCCTGTGACATTTTCTTGTTCCCTAAACTGAAGAGACCCATGAAAGGACGACGTTACGCTACGATTGACGAGATAAAGACGGCATGAACAAGATAAAAAAATGATTTTTTGAAGTGCTTCGATGATTGGAAAAACCGTTGGCACAAGTGTATAATATCTCATGGGGATTACTTTGAAGGGGGCAAAATAGATATTCATGAATAAATAAATAATTTTTGGAAAAACACAAAATTCGCGACATTTTTTGAACACCCCTCGTACATACGTAGTGAAGCATATTTTTTGTAAAGATCGCAATCATTTTATTTTTATTTGTATTTTCAACTGTTCAAAATTGGAAATAAGATAACGTTGTACATGGTTTGACTGAAGGAAATGAACAGTTACTGAAGCTTCTGCAAAGAGAATAAGTGCCAGTGATGCAATCGAAATCTTCAATAAAGCAATAGAATGGATCGAAGAAGAAGATGTGGACCAGAGTTATCTAAATGTTCTTCAGCGTCTAAGGGAGAAAGCAGTCCAATGCTTAGAAAAAAAAACTGCAAAAAAATTACCGACTTTTTTTTAACTGTTAAAAGTTGTATAGGGATAAGTTCATAAATCTCCATAAGTTTAATTAAAAATGTCAAATTTATATATAGCGCTATTCGCACTTTATTAGTTCACGGTTTCGCGAATGCACTGTATTTAATTGTATTTTGGCTTTGACAAAAAGAAGAAGAAAAATCCGTGCCCGTGTGCGGATGAGTTGTTTCGAAATCCCGTATTTCGGTTGCCACTTACTGTTTATATGGCTGCATACGCATTAGGGTACGCACAAAATATATGGGGCTTTTGATTGTGATGCTGCCCTGTTAAGCCCACGTTTAAACATTTTGGACTACAGTAAACCGTGATCCGACTTGGTTGTCCGTTTTTGGGAGAAAAGGTGGAAAGTATACTGAAGCGGAAATTGCTTGTTTCTAATTTTCGATTGATTAATATTTTTATGATACAGACATTTATTAGGTTCGATACATTATTTAAATGGGCTGTTTAATTAAGGTGTCATTTCAAGAGTCTTTCGTGCCACCCCCCTAGTTACGCGTGGGTCTCTTCGAAAGTCTTTTAAATATTTTATATTTTTATATTGATCTGGCTTGTTTGTTTCGGAAGCACAGCTTATACAGGCCAAAGGAGCGTTAGGGTGCTGATGGACTAGTTTGCCATCTCACGTACACATAAAAATTAAGTTCATTTTGCTAGGGGAATGTTTACTTTTCCTAGTGCATTTCCGACGAGATACAACGAGTTCCTTTATTTGTTGGAAAAACATTAAGATGCACATCACAATTCGAGTAAGAAGTTCGATTAAAATAGGAAACGATGAAATGCGAGAACCCCCTGTAATTCATATACATTGCAATTACATATAGTCCCAGCAGGGAAAAATAGTAGTTGTTAACTAGAATCCAACTGGTATGCAGTTTTGCACTAACTGGTTCATCTTCCATCTATATTGCCCATGTAAGCACCTGGTGTTTTTAACATAGCGATGTCCTATGAGCTGAAATTGTCCGAAATAAAAATAAGTTAAATAAAAAATAAATGAGTTTTCCTGTTGTATACCGCAGTAATAACTCCTAACCACTCGGCTATCGTTACGATGCAGCGCGCAGCGTAATTTTGCTCACCTCAACAGAGCAGAGAATGTAATTCAGCCGTGGTGTGCCGAAATAACAGTAATAAGCACCGTTACTGGTGACCTGCTTCACAAATAAACAACTGCCTTGATTTCAACTTCAAAATACCAGTATTTAAGAATTTTTTTGCTCAAATTAAGATGAGGATAACTTTTTCTTCCCAAAAGTGGACCTGGGACCGATCTATACTAAACAATTAGCGGGAAGTGAACCAAGAATTGAATAGGTCAAAAAAGTGTTCGTTTTTGGTGCCTAGCCAACAGCTCTTGATTCAGATTTATGCGAACACCGCTTTGTTCATTTGTATATTTTTATAAATTTTAATAGGATGAAGTAGCTGAGAGGTTAACAGTGCGTGCCACTGGAGAGTCAAGGGTTCGAGTCCTGCCAAAATAATTAAAAGAAAATTAGGACACCATTTTTTTTAATTATGGTCATCACGGTCACCCATCTGAGTGTATTTCTAACGTGAAGTAAAAACACATTATAAAAAACCTAGAAAATTAAGTATGCCCCTCCATTTATTGGAAAAATTAAATAAAATATTCTTCTTCTTTATTGGCATAGGCACTGCTTACGCGATTATAGCCGAATCAGTAATAGCGCGTCATTCATTACTTCTTTTTGCTTTTTAGAAATAACAACTCGCTCTCTACCGGATGCTTCTACTGCTTTGAATAGTTTGATAGCTGAACTGTTTTCATTCAATTTCGTTCTGATGCGGATAGTGGCGAGACGTTCATCTACCCCTGTAACCCTGTAACGGACTGCAGTGACGTCAGCCTTTAATTTAACCAGGACATGCCGTCAAATCGCGATCTTTAAAACATTTGTGGAGGTCGTCATCTCATGCGAGTATAGTTTTCATATGTTGGGTATTAAACCCTATACACAGCCGCATCGAATTCGATTTCTCACTTCAGTCGCCTCCAGAGGACACTTGGCCTAAGGCAGGAAGTCGTGAGTTGCTTGAACTATTTGCATAAGAATCGTTTCTAGCCACTCCCAGGTGAATGACAGTCAAAAAATTTCATCATTTCTAAACAAGTTCCCATCCTCCATATACATTTAACTAATATGTATATGATATTCTCTTGTCACAGTTTTAGACACGGTACTCCTCTGAAACGGTTTGAACGATTTCAATGAAATTTGATGTGCATATTCAGTAGGTCTTAGAATAAGATAACCAACCATTTTTTACACCGGCAAGATGACCTGGGACTAATTTATTCGAAAAATTTGATTATACATATATATAATTTACGATTTACTTGAAATTTTTCACATTTTCCACTTTTTCAAAATCAGATTTGAACTAGCTTAATATAAGAACCCGTATGTTCCGAAATAACTCAAAAACAAGTCAACTGATATTCGTGAAAGTTGACATACAGATGTATGTATTGTATATATGACAAGATAGGTATTATTTAAATTAATGGTCTCAATAATTAATAATTAATAAAAATCTGATTATCAATGTTGATTGTAGTTATTAATCGTATTTTCCGTAAGTATGGAACAGATGGCGCCTTAAGGGGTTACATAGGCCTTGAAACTTCAAAAATTCATTTTTTTGATAATATTTTATATAAAACTACAAAGTGTCAGGAATATTTTTTCCAAGTTTCAAGCCGAGCGAGACGAAACTGTAGAAATTAGAGAGTTTTATAACCCGCCATCTTTGTTATGGATTGACCGATGGCGAAACTTTAAATGCGTTTTTCTTAAAGCCACTTTATCGGAATCGGTTGTCAAAATGTATCAACGACTATTGAAGCGATCGAGTTCAAATTTTCCATACTTCTTTTAAAGATATTTTTATGCAAAAAATTACCTTTTTTATGTAAAAAACTCTACAAAAAATTCAATTTTTAATTTTTTAAATTTTTCTTTGTTCAGGAACAAGGAATATACTTCTACTTCAATAAAATTTGGACTTTTGATTTCAGATAAAAATTGAAAAAGTTATCATGACTACCGCTAAAGCACTTTCTTGTGGACGGTCTACATTTATATGTAAACAAAATAAATTGTTTACTTTATTTAGTATCTTTTAAAAAATTTAGTTTTTACAGAGAAATGTAAAACATTGTCCTTTGCACTTCAAGGATGGCGCCACATCTTAGACTACACACTATTGCCTATAACACTTAACCTCGCTTCTTTCAAATCTTTATTCGTATATTTTTTTTTACTTCTAATTTACAGTTATAAAAAACAGCCAAATATATAATCTACGAAATCTGAGAAAATTGAATATCAGTCACATTAAAAATTCAGTTACTAGGATCAGTAAAATGCGACCCAAAAAATCCAACCCTAATGCCCGTAGTAAGAAGATTCGATATGCACGTGTTGAAAGATTTCATGAATCAGTTGAACAGAGAGCAGAAAGAAATGCAGCCCAAAGAATTCGCAGCGTGATAATCGTCGACAAGAAAATGCATTGAGAACCAGGGTGGTACGTCAACAACACATAAATTCATTGAGAGAACAAAACAAAGAAAATCAGCGGACCAACCGCGCAGCAATCCGTGGATCATTTGTTAGCGTTTAATTATGAACCAGACATCAATTACTCGGCTGATTCCAAAGTTACTATTGGTGCTATGGACAAAAATACGATTATTGTGAGGCGTTCGCAATGAATCACCCGGCATCACTCTCTACCTCACCTGAACCTTTAAAATCCCTTCTTCTGGTAGCTCAAATGAATCAAAATTACTTTTACGTAAGACACGGAAATTTAATTCTTGCTTCCAAATGACGTGAAGGGATCTCCTACGGATTGAGAAAAAAATGTTATTTGGGTACAAGATTAGATCGTGCGTATGTTATTATACCGCAGTTGGAAGTTAGAAGCACTTCCTATACGTTTTATTGATATTTACGTGCGCACATAAAAATACTTAACCAGATCAGCAATATAACGGAATAAAAGCTTAGAACTCAGTATTAGACGATATTTAATAAGAGCTTTTTATCGTTTGATAAAATCCAGAGTCCCCACATCAACGTGTGGCCCGGTCTGCTAGTGTATATATATAATATATATATATATCTATATAAATATTGTATATATATTTAAATAATGTAATTCAAATTGGTATTAATATATTGTCGGTGAAAAATTTCCCCAAAATATCAAGAAATCATTCCTATTAATTATGACTTGCTCCTCATTCTTTCATACCGCTAAATAAAATATTGAAAAAGTTGAATAAAATTTTGATTACATCTACAATACTACAAAAAAAAACTGTTATAGAAAATTTCTGGTTGCACTTCTAAACTTTGGGCTAATATATGTCCAATATTACAGCTATCCTAAATTAATTAACTTTTCTGAATTCAGCACATTCATATTATCAACGCTGCCAGGTTTGAATAGAATTCATAAATAATTCCATTTTGGCCCACATATTACAATACAAACACATAGTTTTCACTTTACCGACTCCCTTCAAAGGCCTTTTCATTTGCTGCTGGGTATGTATATATGTATGTACGTGTATGTAGCACCGGTATGGATATATTCTTCTAGTCGAAGCAACAACCTTATACCTACGTCTATTTTTGGATGAAACAATTTTTGTGGTACACATTGCGAGATATTTTGTACGGCCCATTCGCAGCGGTGTTTTTTGTTAAAGTCCATTTAGTTGATTTAAAGTAATGTTACTGATAAATTTTTAAAATTAAACTAATTTTCCATTGTAAAATACGAATTAGTTAAGCATATAATTGAAAATAAGTGATCTATTAAAAATGCCTACTTGTGCGATATGTGGTATACCAACAGAACACAAATGTACTAATTGTAATCAAACTTTTTACTGCGGGAAGGTACACCAGAAACAGCATTGGCTGACGCATAAAGTTGATTGCAGACCGTTCAAGGTACATACTCGTAGATATGTGAATTACCGGCATTCTTTATTTTATTGTACTTTGACTCTATATTTGCAGGTAGAGCATAGCGATCAACTGGGAAGATATTTGGTGGCTACACGCAGCATTAAACCGTTTGAAATAATTTTAAAAGAAGCACCGTTAATATGCACACCATCTCAAGTAACCAGTCCAGTATGTCTGGGTTGTTTGAATGGAATTGAGCCTTCCGATTATATTGACTGTGAGAATTGTGGGTGGCCTCTTTGCGGCATCGAGTGCAAGGGCAAACCTGAACACGAAGTTGAGTGTGAGTTCACAGTGAAACGAGGTTCTAAAGTGAGTACACTAGCCATCTTAAAATATTTCACGATTATCATTATTGGGGGTGATTCAAAATTATAGTGAAGCCAAGAATATTAGTCTTGTTCGGTGAGCTGATGAGCAGCAACAATTGTTATTCATATTCAGAAATGATCATATGAGTTTTATCAATTTTTACTGAACTTTACTGAATTGTGTTCGTTGAGCCAAAAGCTCAGTAAAATTAGTAGCGGGAGAGCGCAATTTTCACGTTTCCTTTGGAGAGAAAGCTGCAAATTGGTGATGGAAAAATGTCAGCCAGTAAAAACGAGCAGGGTATGAAAAACGGCTGGTTTGTGATCATATGATTGAAATTTGAATGATGCACTAACACAATAAGTGCCTAAATGTAATATTGTTAAAATAGATCTAATGATATCAACAATTCGGAAAAATAGTTCAGGTGCTCGTTAAATGAGAATGTGATGGCAGTGGAGTGGAATCATTGCCCGCATGCCACACAGTTTACGTTCAGAAATTAGAAGTTAGGAAAATATTTTACACAATCCAAAGTTGTTCTACGATTTTGTGAACTCCAAACGTAAGCTTTCTACCTCTCCGTCCGCTATGAAATACCAATCTACTGTGTCATGTAACATTTGTTCGCGCTATTTTTTAAATCAAATGAACTCTCGAAATGCTTGTCCGTCTGTCAGCATTATTTACAATCAACAACAATAATTAACTCACCAACTATATCCGTGGAATCATTTAATGAATCTAAAACATTCTTTCAGTTATGGTCCTGATGTGATTTCTACAGGCTTTTTGAAAAGTTATGCCAATAATCTGTATTGTCTTTAACTCAACTTTTTAATTCCTCTCTCAAACAAGGTGTGCTCCCTACAATATGAAAGCATTCTTTTATAGTACCCTTACATGAGAGTGGCTTTAGATCTAATATTGAGAATTATAGAGGTATAGCAAAAATATCCGCTATGCCTAAGGCAATCATAACTAGAAAACTTTATCTTTTCATTACTATCCAATTCCCAACACGGGTTTTGTAAAGGAAAATCAATACTTACAAATTTGCTTTAATTTGTGTCACATATCTTTAAAGCCTTTAGAGATAACTAGCAAATTGACGTTGTCTACATCGACTTTAGGAAAACATTCGATAGGGCTAATCACTCTATTCTTTTCCATAAACTAGATTTTCTGGGCTTTCAACAAAGATTTCTTCAATGGGTTTCCTCGTATCTCTGCAATAGAACACAACGGATAACGTTTAAATACACTTTATCACAATTCATTAACGTCTCATCAGGAGTTCCTCAAGGTACCCATCTCGGCCCGATTCTGTTTCTATTAGTCATAAATCAAATATCTTCGGTAATAAAGCATTCAAATATCTTGTTATATGCCTCAATCGACGAAAGACGAAAACGATCTAGACAATTTAGCGATTTGGTGTGATTTGTGTGCCTCTGAACCTTACAAAGTGTAAGATTATGTGCTTTTCAGGAAGACTTGCTCAACTTTCTCCTTATATAATTATTAACTGTAGTCTAGAGCAAGTCTTCAACTCTGTTGATTTGGGAGTTACGGTCTTAAAGGCAAAAAATGCGTTTGCCTTTGTCAAAAGATGGTCAAAAGAATTCAAAGACCATTTTGTAACCAAAGCACTTTATACGACTTTGATGAGACCAATATTAGAATATGGTTCACTGATTGGGGCTCCATCAATTATCAAGCTCATTCCGATAAATTTGAGTCTGTTCAAATACAATTTTTTAACCTTTGCGTTGAGACATTTCCGATGGAACTCTATAATAAGTCTTCCACCCTATACCAACCGTTTAAGCTTCTGAATCTACCTACTCTCGCGAGTCGTAAAGAAATGTTAGGCGCATTTAGGCCTTTTTATCATTCCAGCACCTTCGATCTCTCAGACTCACTTTTAAGCAACAAAAAAACTATTCTTACTTCTCTCAACAATTAAATTTTAAAATTCCATAATTACTAAATTTCAGCTTTTGAATTATTATATTTTCTGTAGCTGAACAGTTTGAAATCTGGAAGCTTAACAAACGTTTCCCAATCACGGCTCGGAATATTCCGTACGTTATGCGGATGTCGCCTCTCGTATCGGTTGGGTGGGTGGGTGTAGGGTATTCGTTGTGCTTATTATCTTATATTGAATGATGAAGGTATATACAAATGTAATTAGAATATATTATTATTTCTCATACAACGGAAGCTGATTTTGGTTTCCTAATATTTACTAGTACTCAGTTAATATTGCTCTCTTACCCGAAAAGCAATTCCAAATTCATTTTCTCATTTCAATCATTCATACTGAAAATCTAAAATCTAAGTGACAAATTGTTTAAGACATCTTACTCTCTAAATTTTTTTACTGGCTAATTTTTTCTGACATTTCTCAACCGAACAAAGATATTATATTGTGGTTAGTTTTAGTATAAGACCCATGTATATTTATAAGTTTTATTGGTAACAAAAATACGGTAGGCGTACTTGAAATCGGTTATCTTTTAAATCCAACACCATTTCAAGGTTCTCTCCTTTTTTTTTTGGGGAAAAACGCAAAAAATTCAATTAGGAATTTTTATTATCATTCGAAAGAAAATTATTTGCCATTTATTTATTAAAGATTATCTCTTTCAAAGGTTGCCTATGTCTCAGATGGTCCATACGTTGAGTTCAATTTTCGATGACTCGTTCGAGCATTTTCACTAGTAACTGGTGAATGAGACGCGTGATGTTTTCCTCCATTGCCTGACTCAAAGTAGAATTGTCCACACATACTTTAGACCTGGGGATATGTACCCACAGGAAAGAGTCTAACGGTGTGATATCACACGACCTTGGTGGCCAATCGACCGGCCCAAAGCGTGAAATTCTCTGCTCACCGAAGTATAACCTCAATAACTCCATTGCTTGATGCCATGTGTGGGAAGGGGTGCCGTCTGGTTGAAGCCAAATGTCGCCTAGATCACAATTTCAGTCATCAAATAGTCGGTTATCATGGCGTAATACGTTCTCATCGGCATCATTTTTTAAGAAATATGAACCGATGATTCCACCGGCACACCACACTAAACCGCTGTTCTTCCTGGATGAAATGGCAGCTCTTGAATCTCTTCAGGTCGCTCTTCAATTTTCCAATTTTGCTTGCTTCCTGTCATTTGGGGTACTTATACATATATGCATAACTGCAATTCTCAGGTGAACAGTGCGGCAATAATCTTAAAGTGTCTATTAGATACTAAACTGAGTGTGCTTGCTTAGACGCTTAACAACACCAGAAACTTCCGAAAAATGCCAGTGCCTAAGTGGTGTAAGCTTGGCTTACAAAACCACCGGAGTAACCCCTCGCTCCTAAAAAATTTGAAGAGCCAAAGCGCTCAATAAATTCCCAACGCAGCAAATGGAATGGTCACTCCGCACCATTTCCAAATGTCTCACCCGGGGCTCAACCCTGAGTTCCATCTAATAAATGCATGGTAAGTAAAGAGGAATGGTCACCTCGCACCACCTCTAAGTTTTTCCTATCAAGCTCACACCCGAACTCCATTAAGAGCCAAAAAGCTCTATGAGTTCTCCCCCTACCCCCCCAGTTTAGATACGTATTGCTGTGGGGATGACTGTCTCCGTTTTTCGTGTACACTCTCAACTACGTCCCCTTATTTTCTTCAATATTAATGAATTCTGGGTCTCAAGATGGGTGATCGTTTGCGAAAAGAACGGTCAGTATGCCGATTATGTTGACCATAAGTTGAGCGAAAGACATTTTTTACGTTGTTCAAGGGCTTAGACTCACGCCTGATCTGTTTAACCGCTGAAGCGATTTTTGGCCTAGCTCCTCCTCCAATATGCGGTTTGTTGCCTCTTGTTGTTTTTCCACCAGAACGAGGATAGATTTATATGAGTAGATTTATTTCATTTCAGAATTACAATTGAAATTCTTGACGAAAGGGGATGAGTATTTAATTCAAATTTTATTCATATTTTAGGTGTCAGTCAAAGAATTTACTAATCCTCATCCATTATATCAATGTATGGGCACGGTTCGTTGTCTACTTTTGGCCAAAAAAGATCCAGAAAAATGGAAAGTGTTTTCGGAACTCGAATCTCTTGAAAAATTGCGACGGGGGTCTATGCAATGGAAAGCTGATTTGGAAAGTATCGGCAAATTTATACCCAGGTTGGTTGTTATTACTTAGGTACATACAAAAATACATTTACAGGTTGACAACTAATTTGAAACGCTCTCTTCTTCAGCATAATAGTCAAATTTTGCTAAATTTACCGTTATATTTTCATAAAAACGACACTTGCATTGTTTTTGTTATTCTATTTACTACTCAATGTACATATATACTAGAAAATGCCATGTTGCCGTGGGCTGGGGAGAGCTCGCCTGTTATATGGAAATTTCAACGCGATAACGATCCAAATCACACCGCGACGAAAATTGCATCACTGTTTTAGAATGGCTTTCATCCAGTTCCAGTTCCAGTCTAAACTTTAACCCTCTGAGGTGACATTAAAAGAGTCTTTAGTGTTAAAAATGTCATAAAAATTGATGTTTTTTTTTGAGGAAGTAAGAACGGCATGGCAAGCAATATCAGTGGCGCGTTGTCGAAATCTTTTGACATCAATTCGAAATGTGTTGAAGCTACGTAACCATAACTAAAAAAAAAACATATCTTATTTTTTTCTGATAAAATATTTTCATTTCTAATTAGGTGTCGCAGAAAATATATGAATTCCACTGGCCTTTGTATAAAAAGAAATATCTAAAAATTAATTTTAATTTTTAATTTTGAATAAATTGCTTTGAATGTGGTTGCAAGTCTTGTATATTTGTTTTTAAATAAAATTACGAAAATACGTTCTTTAATGGCTGAGGCGATCATTCATTTTAAAATAAGCATCGTTTCTAATTAGCTGTCAACAGCTGTATATACATACATATATATATATATGTATATATAATTTTAATTACATTATTGCTGCTTTATTCGTACACATGCTGACACTGTACTTGTATTGTATTACCTTGTAAATTCAGATTTTTTAAGACCACCGATTTCAGCGAGGACCTAATTATGAAAACGGTCGGCATTTTGCAAATAAACGGCCATGAAGTACCTGTTACAGATCCACCACATGTTGCCATATTCAAAAATGCATCATTTCTGGAGCATTCATGCCACCCAAATTTGGCGAAAAGTTTCACAAAGGATGGCCATTTAATCTTATGGGCACCCAAGACAATTAAAAGGAACACTCATTTGAGTATATGCTACTCTGATGCCGTCTGGGGCACTCAAGAAAGGCAACAGCATCTTATGCATACGAAAATTTTCAAATGTGAGTGCGAAAGATGTCTAGATGTTACAGAATTCGGTACAAATTACGATGGCTTTAAGTGCACCACCCCTGACTGTATTGGCGTTATTTTACCTTCGAGTTTAAAAGAGTGGAATTCTAAGTGGAGGTAAAACAACAACAACTTAGTCATGTACATGTATGTGTCGCTGATATTACAATACATTATATTGCACGAATATTTTGCTTCCTACAGGTGCTCGACATGTGGAAACCACGTTGACATATCGTTCATAAAAGATATTCTGGAAAAGGCTGGAAAGGATTTGAATCCCATGACAAGGACAGCAGACAATTGCATCAAGTAAAATAGAAAATTAGTGGTTAAGCATCAGCAACTCAAGTATAAAAACTATTTAACTGAACATAATTCATGCACATTTTAGAAGTTGTCAATGTTTTGCAATTGTTGTATAATAATCTTATTAGTGTTTTTATTTAAAAAATCTATATTGTCCCCAATTTCAGAATAATTCGTAATGTCTTCTAAACATTTCAGATACATTCAGAATTATCAGAAGTGGCTGACGAACAGGCATTTTTACATTTGTCAAGCCAAAATACAGTTGGTTCAGCTAATTGGTACGGATCCTAAGGAGCTGATGACAGTGCCCGAAGATAAACTTAATCTAAAACTGGAATATTGCAAAGAGCTGTTAGATTTATATGAGAAGCTTGCCCCCTGTACGTATTCGTTTTTATCTTAGATATCTTAGCCTTAACGAAAATTTTAATTTTATTACATTTTTTTTTTTATTATCTTAGGTGAGATCCGGATGCTTGGCACATTTTGCTTTGAATTGCACTCGGCAATAGCAGAACACACGCGGCGTGTAGCCTTGAAAACCTCGTTATCCCCGAAAAATATGCTCGAAGAATCTCTACTCTATGTTGATAAATGCATAAATTACTTGCAACATGAATGTGACATTTTTGTTGAAGGACACATCCTTAAGCAAGCAAAAATCAACAGGGATGCTCTTCGAATGGTGTTGGTTATGTAGAATCTGCGCTACAAAAACATCTACATACGAGTATATGTGTCTGGCACTTTTGTATCAAGATTCAATAAATGCTTCAGGTTTTAGCAGTAGAACATCTAAATTTAATCTTTTTGTTCATTAAATGATTTTGATTTTGTTGTTGTGTTAATGTAGTATTGAATGAAATCTAGAGATTGTTAACGTCGAAAATCTAGTATAAATACCACGTGTTAAATCAAATAGAAAAAGTTTCGCAAGTAATCAAATTATCATATAAAAAATAATGTTTAGAGGCATCGTTATGTGAATAAGTTCTTGGTCCTGCAAGAAGGCTTCCGATCATTCGTAGAACGATCTTAAGGTTTACCTGTGCATTTTCGTCATTCTTGCTCAGAAACAAAAACAAAGTCAATTTCTGGCCGCAGTGGTGAAATAGCCTCTTTTTTTCGTCTATTTTAGCAGTTCACATGCTGTCCGCATTAGGTACGTCCAGCGAATGTTCACTGGTACTTCTCGTTATTTGACGTTCTCTGGTACGGCTGGGAGGTATGTAAAATGGTTGGTTGGGCTATTAGATTCAGTAGTTTTCATGTGAAAATTCTTTGCCTGTTCTTGTTATAGTCAAAAATTCGATTCATCTATGTATATATGTATATATAATTGGTGCTTTGTAACCGATGAAGCGATTTTCGGCCGAGCTCCTCCTCCCTTTTGTGGTTTTGCATCTTAATGTTTTTCCAACACATGGAGAGACCTACAGTTTATACTAAAAGCCGCCTCCAAACGGCTGATGGTTTTTTTAAGAGGAGCTTTGATGTATATCAGAAATGCACTCGGAGTTTCCATACAAGGCCCAGGCCACTAAACAATTGAAGCCGGCTAATCATTCACAATGGCGCACTTAAGTCGATGAGGTGCTCGTAGAAAATTGTTTTCAGCGACGAGGAAAATTTCTCAATCCGAGAACTCTCAAATAATTGAAGAAGGTCATTACACCCAAACCAATCACTGTCTGGTGCGCTCCTTTAAAATGAAATACCACAAATTTTATGTAGTCATGAAAGGTATTAAGACTTCGGAATGGCTCTTCTTTCTAGTTTAAATTAATTTTGAATAAATGTCTCACCAGGGTTTCAACCGGACTACTTATGTAAGTAGTCTGTCTGTGTAAGTTATATACTTATCCGATTGAAATTATTGTTGAGAGAATAACGGGCGATATAAAAGCTTCCAAATGTAGCAATTAAACACATGCTTTGTATATTTAAAAGTACATTGTGACTACGCTATTTTCCTAAATCCTGGAAGCTTTCGGATATTATTATGATCCCCAAAGCCCGTAAAGTTACATCTTTGGCGGGCACCTACAGGCCTATTAGCTTAATTACGGTATTCTCAAAAATCTTCGAAACACTTTTATTAAAAAAAATATTACCAATTTTAGAATCAAAACAGCCACCGATTCCGGTTTAGAGCAGGTGCATAGAATCGTGTTATTATTTGTTTTTTTTTTCGCTCTGTTCGGTTTTGTTTTGTATGCGGATTAATATGTTGTTTATTCTTCTTATATTACACTTAAAGCAATTGTTCTTTTTATTTTTATTATGAGACCAAGATAAATTACAATAGTATTGCTTTGCTACTTAAATGCTCAAAATTATCTAGAGTATGCGTACATCACACTTCTCATTACATTTAGTGCTCTAAGCATCGTTGAAATAAAAAGAGCATATATATATATATATATATATATATATATATGTTCGTATGTAGATTGATTTTCATAAAATCCATATTACTGAAAAAAAGTGAATAATACTCAATCTAAAGTCGCAAGTAATCAAAAACTCACCAAATTTATGCTTTATAAGCTTTTATGACAGAAGTCGTAGTCCGAATCCAAAAAAATAGTTTGAATCTCATACTGCTTCTTGACACTCGATAAACAGCCAGAAGCTATGAAAGCCGATTTTGGTGGTCTTCAACTTTTTTGTTCCTAAGAAAAATATGGCACACTTCCAAAAATACCACCTAAGCTTTTTTCTGCTGATTCCAGTTTCAACCTAAAACTGCGGTCCTAGGAAAATTTCTTCTCTCAGTTTCGCGCCGCTGATTCGGGGAAATTGAGTTCTTGTCTATGCTAACAAATTTTTATCCCAAAGTATTTCGTAAGTCCCAACCTAGTGTGATGGTTTCTGAGAAACATCCTTAGAACTTAGGTCTAGGGGTCAAGCGTTTTTTGGAAAAAGATTCTAAAAAAACATGAATAGTTTTGAAATATCATTCAAAGCAAAATGTCTAAGTAAAAAAAGCATCGTAGCTTACTTAATTTACTGGCGTAGACACCGCTTACGCGATGCGCCATTCGATTCTTCTTTTTGCTGTTTGGCGCCAATTGGAAATACCAAGTACATCCAGGTTCTTCTCTACCTGGTCTTTCCAATGGAGTGAAGGTCTTCTACTTCCACCTGCTGGTACTGTTTTAAGAACTTACGAAGCTGGAGTATTCGTATCCATCCAGACCACAGGATCTAGCCAGCACAGCCGCTGCTGCTTGATTCGCTGAACTATATCAATGTCGCCGTATAACTCGTACAGCTCATCGTTCCATAGTCTGTGATATTCGCCGTTGCGAAGAACCTTAATGTTTCCGCAAAACCTTTGTCTCGAAACTCCTAACGCCGACTCATCAGATGTTGACATTGTCCACGCTTCTTCGCCATATAGCAGGACGGGAACGATGAGGGATTTGTAGAGTTTGGTTTTCGTTCGTCGGGAGAGGACTCTTCTTTTCAATTGCCTACTCAGTCCAAAGTAGCACCTCTTGGCAAGAGCGATTCTGCGCTGCATTTCAAGGCTGACATTGTTGTTGGTGTTGATGCTGGTTCCTAGATAGACGACTTTAAAGCATTTATTGTTAATAGCGACGATGGAGCCGAGTCGCTAATGCGAGGGCTGTTTGTGGGATGACAGAAGATATTTCGTCTTGCCCTTGATCGCTACCAGACCCATATCCTTCGCTTCCATATCCAGAACTCACGGCGCGGTTGTTAGGGCCAATAATGTCAATATTATTGGTGTACGCCAGCAGCTGCACGCTCTTATAGAAGATTGTACTTTCTCTATTCAACTCTGCAGCTCGCCGCGCATGCCATTCTGCAGAGAAGCTGATGAATGCACTTTATCAGCTGTCCCGCCGCTTATTTGCTTTTAATGCGGGCGATTGCTATTCGAACTTCTTCATGGTCAGGTAATGGAACGTCTTTTCCATCGTTATCGATTATGGGTTGAGTTTGCTCCATAAACTCAATGTACTCTGGGCATCGGTGGCTAGATCACCTTTTTGAGCCCGACAAGAGTCTGCTACGGTATTTAAACCTTCCGTAAGTCGTCGTATTTTTTGTGAAATTTTCGAGCATTACCCTAGTGGGGCAGCTTCTCAAGCTCCACATACTCATGCATTTCGGCCTCTTTCTTTTCCCCCCTGTAATTGCGTCTTGCTTCCCTCTTCAGATCTCGGTATCTATCTAACCCCGCACGTTTTGTGGTCGATCGCAAGGTTGCGAGGTAGGCAGTTTGTTCTCCACTGTGTCACGGCAGTCTTAATCCTACCAGCTCTTTTCGCGACCTTTACGAAATAGAGTGAAGAAACAGTTTGGTTTGAAGCTATACGTAAAGAGCTTGAAATGCCGCCCCACAGTTCTCGTCTATCGAGTTGCAGATGAGTGCTCTCAGAGAGCAGGAGTGCAAGTTGAGAAGAAAATCGTTCGGCAATCTGTTGTGATTGCAGCTTTTCAACGTCGTACCTTTCTTGTGTTTGGTTACGAGCGTTCTTTGACAGAGGCTACAACAAGATAGTGGTCCGAGTCGATGTTGGGTCCTCGGAGTGTACGCAAATAAAGACGATGCAAAAAAAGTGTGTAAAGATAGAGGTATACAGGTAAAAATAAAAATCCGGTGAGGCTGTAGATCAGAAATAATTTTCTTTCTATTCGCATTGTTTTTTTTTTTTAGAAACAGATATACATATATACATACACTGTTTATAATTCTGTTCGGGGACTAGATGGGCAGTAACAATTTTTACTTGATACTGGTCGTTGGGCCAATAATGCAATCCAGTAAAATTAGTAACGAGAGAACGCAATTTTGACGTTACTAATACGGATAAGCTGTGTTCATTGAGAAATGGAGAGAAGGTCTTCTTCTTCCTCTGCTTCCACCTGTCAGTAAAAACTAGCTAGTAACTATATTGAAAGAGAGAGATGTCGTACTCTCCCAAAGAGTTTTCCCCGAACAGGATTCAGTCAAAATTTGCCAGCAAGTTGTTTAAAGGGTGTATATTTTGGCGGTTAAATTTTAGTCCGTTCATCTGTACAGTCTTTTCTTTCCTGTTTTGATGTATTTTCCTGAATGTTTTAATAAAATTGACAACTACTTGGCATATTTATTTTATTAATTGGATTAAAACTATTTTATTTCAACAAATGATGACGGCTATAAAGTCAAGCGATAGATACTTATGTATATATTTATGCTATTAGTTCTCTAAAAAGATGAAGATTTATGAAAAACTTACAATACTTTGCTTCAATTTGTAGCTTAGCTTTTTCGTAAAGATGACTGAAATACGAAAATGTATTTAGAATTCTTTTTCCGTGTAAGTCGGCCATATTAACTCAACATTATTATAGATTTTATTAGATTCTGTTTTAATAAAAGCCAAGCAAGAGCTTTATTTTTCCTTCAAAATGATACTAATATTTCTTTTTGTCCATCATCGTCGTTTCCGGAAACCTAAGAATCCATTATCGTCACTGTGACCGTTTCAACAACCTTGCTCTGCAATGTGTAGCGACTCATTTGGTCGCCACTGCTTTCTAATAAATTTTTGAAATGCAAAATAAACTTGCGTTGTACAAGAAATAATAACATATTCTAATTAATGCCTTTAACATTCCTTGCTTCTCATTTCTCAACGTAAGCTGTGTGGAGTGGAGTGGAATCATTCATTGCCCACATACCACACAGCTTACGAGGTGTGACAATTAAGTAATGAGATGGATTATTTTGACGCGATCGTGGTAACTCTGCGACCTTGAAATTCGCTTTCCCTTCTCCCGGCATCATTCACCTCTCCATTCATATATTTGCCATCTATCTAGCTTGTTTAGTTTGCCTGCTGTGTTGTGTTGAGAAAAGGTGTGTTCGTGGTAATCGTCACGAAAATGGAAAAACGAAATCAAGAGTAACGCGTCGCGTTAAAATTTTGCCCCAAATTGAGCAAAGCAGCTTCGGAAAAGTACGCTAAAATTGTAAAAGTGCATGGCGATAGTGCTCTTAGTCGTGGCCAGGTGTTTAAGGAGCTCACAATGGTTGCCTGCCCGAAAAAAGCTCACATGAGCAAGTCGAAGGTAAAAACCGTAAATCAAGTCTACTATCGCCAAATACCCGAAAGATTGCGAAAACGAGTCAACAGGGTGCACCCGGACATCGCTCATAACTGGATCCTTCATCACGACAGCGCGTCATGCCACACCGCCCTCGGTGTATCCCAGTAGTTGGCCTCGCCCGATATGTCACCCTGTGACTTTCTTTTTTTCCCTAGAACAATATTTTTATATATAGTTTTTAATATTTTTTAACACCTTTTTACCATGCGCTCTGCGAAAAGTTTTCTGACTTCTCGTATAGATTTCAACAATGAATACAGTTAGTGTTGTTTTAAGAAATCCGTTTAATCTTTAAGGTAATAAAGTTTGTCTAAAATCTATGATAATAATAATAATAATAATAACGATTGAAGAAAATAGTAATCTTCCTAATTTTTCCCATCTTTGGCATAAATTAACTGCCGTTTTGCAAATCGGGAAATATTTCCTACTATTTTCGAAAATACACCCGTTGTCATTACTTATCCAAACTTTACTTATTGAGTCATGCGAAATTTCTATAAATATTATGTATATGTACGTATGTATTGAATGTACAGTGGCTCACAGCCAAAGTGATGCAGCCTATAGCAGACAACGAGCTCGAGCTGCCTCGAGGGACCCGCATGACTTAGGTCTGGATATTGTAGCAGGTTAAACTCCTACTTATTCAGACTAGACCCCAGCATACCTAACGTATGCCCACAATGTGGAGAGTCTCCGCACGACACTAACCACCTCTTCACATGCCCTCTCAAACCAACTCATCTAACCTCCCCTTCTCCCTTTGGTCCAACCCCGTCGAAACAGCTCGTTTCCTGGATCTCCCCCTCGATGACCTCGGCGACTTAGACTAATCAAACCTGTGTCCAAGCGGGGTTAGCGAACCGCTACAACAATAACAACAACCATACTGACAACTCTGAACAACATCTATTTCCTGATTGGTTAACAGTGCAACGGCCATGGGATTCCAAAAGAATGCTATCACCTTTATTTCGATGATCCAGGAGCACACTGTAATGTGATGGTGGAATAGATTTCTCCAGAACTCGTATGACCTTTGGCAAAGCCATTTTAAAGAACAATTTTTTGGTATTTGAAAAAAGTCCATTTTTATTGTCAAATAACGCATATTTACATTACTACTTACATACGTACATATGTATGTATGTACGTATAAATTAGTTGTTAACAATATTTAGCGCAAAGAGAAAACACATACACTGTAATTGCATATTGCATGTGTAATTTCAAATATGCACATATAAATGTACACGAAAATCAAAAACAAATTAGGTTATACATTAGTAATGCAGTAAATTATAATATATAAAAGTTAAAACAAATATAATATTCTTATATTACCGCGAAAATAAAAAAAAGCCTGCTCAATTTATAAATGAGCATGGTTTTCGAAGCTACTAACTGCAATATGACTAAAAAAAAAATATATATATATATGGTCAAAATATTTTGTAAAGATTCGTTAAAAGAATGCGTGAAAAAATTGTGATAATTTTTGCCCATTAAAAAATCTAGCTTTAAACTTTAATTTCCAAACTCAAACTTTCTGTAATTCACTTGAACTTAAACTAACGACCTTTCTTTCAGTTGATTTCTCTTTTCATTATTCTTTATCGTTCTATATCCAAATAGATGTCCCAAGCAGGAAAATGTGTCTCACACGGGTCTTCGAACAACGAAAGCATATCTAGTTTAAGTTGACAAATTGTAATAACCATTGTACAGAGCAAACGTTGAGTCAGCTAATCCGGTTAGTTAAACTATATTGCAGCGGCAAGGGTGCCAGAAGCCTAAATGTTATAATTTCCTATTGGGTATAAGCGTGTGGCTAAGTAAATATGTATGTGTAAATATACAGCAACCGTTCTTTTAACTTTATATTCGCTCGTGTTATTCATTCCGATTTGCGAGTTCTAGAAGATACGCGAGGAGCGTAAATCACTGCATAACTTTGGGCGCTGGCTAATTGCTTCGATTCTCAAATGATCTGCGAGATGATACGGTCAGGGTGCTCATTTTTTGTAATGGAATTTACTATATTATGGTCTAGATCAGATATCTGACTATCTGCTCTGTTTTGTGTCTTCCCATCCCTGCAAGGGATTAGTTGAGCGGTATGCGATTGGCCTCTGTGCAGCGTCAGATGCCTCTTATGGTATTGGGTTAAAGACCACGTTTTGAAACGAGACAAGTGTTCAACTTTAATATATTTAAATATTCTCCCTCACCCGCCTAGACACCCTCAGGATCCCTAGTTCGTTTGCTTTTCATTGGAGCTGGTTTCTAGGTGGCGGGTCCCAAACCCAGTGCACAACCGCGATGGGCGAGTAAGTTAAAATTTTTTTACACATCCGGTCGGATGGGATGAGCCTTTACACTCCCAAAGAGAGAAATTTATTAAATTTTCACAAAGGTGAGAGCAGGAAGAAAATTGCAACTACCATGTATTTTATTCTTGCTTTTACGTTTTGGAAAATTTCTTGGTTTTTAACGTTGAAAATTTTAAAATTAAATGAAATTCAAGCCAACAAAATACAAACTAAACAATTATATTGACAATCTCTTTCTTTCCTTAAAAATAAAAATCTTATATTTTTCGCTGGGAGCAATTTTCTCAGCACGAATATGCTACTGCCCCTCATAACTTCCTCGTTGCTGGCCCTTTGACTAAACGTGTGACTGGACAACAGCTCGTAGGAAAGAAATAATCTTAAACTTTCCCGTTGCTGCTGTGTCACCAGTCTAAAAATCGGTATTAAATCTGTCGTCTGACTAGGTTCTAAGGTACTTTGTCTAACTAAATTAACAAAAACATGCATTCTAGCATGGGAAGTAATCGGCCAATTACTGTACAACTGATATTGTATACTATTTATTGTTATTTATATTAATACATACATGTTTTATATTAAGTGTACTTCACATGAAAATAAACGTAGGATTTCACATATGCTCATTTAACTCGAAGTTAAGCCACTAACACAACTGCTTAAAAATAACCCATTTCAGATTTTTACGAACATCTGGATATTGTTCTCTTCTCTTCGATTTTTAAACTAAAATATAATAAACTATACTATTATGATAAAAAAAGAAACCACATAAAAGTAAAATTGTGGTCATATCTTATTTAATAGCAACTTCAAGATGTAATCGCTTGATTTCTTGATTCCATAATAAACAATAAAAAATTTATGGATCAATATATTCAAAAGAGCTTCCATCTGTCAATTGTTTCGAATGAAGAGTGGACAAATGTAAAGATCATCATCTAGCATTTACTCTTACAAAATTCACACACTCCTACCCATCTAACATTGTGGTCACTCTAATTCTTTCCTTCCTTTTGTTCCTCAGAGGAACTTTGTTCAGAAGTGCTGCTTCCACTAGCGTTGCTCTCACGTTCCGCCGACATCTTTAAAAGTAATATATGTATTTATTGTTTGAAATATTTGAATCAAGGTTGTATTACCTTTTTATACGCCATTTCGAATAGTTTCAGAGATGATTGTTGCAATTGATTGGTAGCTTTCCTCACTTCCTCAGGCTCGGCGGTATCTTTGTTAGCCAGCAGCGTACGTAAATCAGCGATTTCTTTCTTCAGCTTTTCACACTAAAAAAAGTGACATTTTTTAATGTTCGCTTCTATATTGGATAAAATTTAATCTTACCTCTTCTGCAGGTAATTGACTCTTAAATTCCTCCATTTTGGTTTCTGTATCGTGAACAATGCTCTCGCCTTGGTTGACCAATTCGATTAACTCACGTTTCTTTTTGTCGGATGCAGCATACTCTTCAGCCTTCTTAATCATGTTTTCGATTTCATCCTTGCTCAGACCACCACCCGATTGAATAACGATTTGTTGCTCTTTACCAGTGCCCTTATCTTTAGCAGACACATGGACAATGCCGTTGGCGTCGATATCGAAAACCACTTCGATTTGTGGAACACCTCGTGGTGCGGGTGGAATGCCTACCAATGTGAATGAACCGAGTAATTTATTATCTGATGCCATTTCACGCTCGCCTTGATGCACTTTTATTTCTACTTGTGTCTGACCATCCGCAGCTGTTGAAAACACTTGAGACTTCTTGGTGGGGATGGTAGTATTCCTGGAGATCAGTCGTGTAAATACTCCACCCAATGTTTCAATGCCAAGTGACAAAGGCGTGACATCGAGCAATAAAACATCTGTAACATCTCCAGCAAGGACTCCACCTTGAACTGCTGCGCCTACAGCTACAGCTTCATCGGGATTGACTGCACGTGATGGCTGTCGGCCAAACAAATCTTGGACTGTTTGCTGTACTTTTGGCATTCTCGTCATTCCACCGACTAATAAAACTTCACCAATTTCAGTTTTAGAAACCTCAGCATCAGATAGTGCCTTTTGACACGGTTGCATTGTACGTTTAATCAAATCCCCAACAAGGCTTTCAAGCTTAGATCGAGTCATTTTTAAATTCATATGTTGTGGGCCAGATGCATCCATTGTCAAATATGGCAAGTTTATATCTGTTTGTTGTGATGATGATAATTCACATTTTGCTTTCTCAGCAGCTTCTTTCAGGCGCTGCATAGCAATGTTATCCTTAGTAATATCTATACCAGTATCCTTTTTAAACTCCGATACCAAATAGTTAACAATAGTGTTATCAAAATCTTCACCGCCAAGCAACGTATCGCCGTTGGTAGACTTTACTTCGAAAACTCCCTTTTGAATTTCAAGAATTGAAATATCGAAGGTTCCACCACCTAAATCATATACTGCAATACTAAAAATATACGAAAATATTATAATCATTGAATATTTCTAAGAAAATTTTATTACATTTTATCATCTGTCTTGTCCATGCCGTAGGCCAGCGCAGCAGCTGTAGGTTCATTAATAACACGCAACACGTTCAAACCGGCTATTTGACCAGCATCTTTGGTGGCCTGACGCTGCGAGTCGTTGAAATAAGCCGGCACTGTGACAACAGCATTCTTAACCGGTGTATTAAGATATGCCTCTGCGGTTTCTTTCATTTTCATCAATATAAAAGCCCCGATTTGTGAAGGTGAATACACTTTGCCATCGGTAGAAGAAACCCATGCATCTCCGTTTGATGCCTTTACCACTTTGTATGACAAGTTTTTCAAATCTTTTTTAATTTCTGGATCATCGAAACGACGACCAATTAAACGTTTAGTAGCGTAAAAAGTGTTTGCCGAATTCGTAACTGCTTGCCGTTTTGCTGGCATACCAACCAAGCGTTCTCCGTCTTTGGTAAAAGCAACATGAGAAGGTGTTGTACGTGCACCCTCTGCATTTTCAATAACCTTGGCTTGTTTACCCTCCATTACTGCCACACAAGAATTTGTTGTTCCCAAATCTATACCGATTACGGCTCCTTTGACTTCGCCAGACCTGAAAAAAGTAAACTTTTGTAATAAATTTGCACACATCAAAATATTATTCTTAACCGAAAAAATAAGGGCTTCTTTCTTTATCTTACTAAAAGTATTGGTGCAAATATTTTGAAATCCCTATTAGAGTGGTTAAAACAGAATTGATTACATATGAACTTTCATTCTTTCAAAAGAGTATTATTAAGATTATATGGTAAAACTTTTTAATTTTTAATGCTGATCGCCTAAACTAAATAAACTGCGCTATACTTTTCTACAATTTATGCGAGACGAGTTAGCATGCTGAAGATACATACCTATATACATATATATATATATAGCTCGACCCGTAGCGTAACGAAAATAGGAAATATTTTGCACTCGTAAAACGATAAGCTTACATCTCTACTTTAAATATCATATAAAAGTCTCAATAAATTGTCTAAATCACTTTATTTGTAAGAAAAAGCCTAAGATACTGGTGAATGAAAAACCGCTCAATCGGCTATCAAAAGCATATTATGAACTTAAACTCGCTTCTATAACGAACTTTCGGTATGACGCAATTTCTTAAAAGAAATAAGAAATTATTATTTGTCCTAAACTATTTCAAAGCCAAGTTGCACAAGATCTTTATACGATTAATATTAAAAAATATGACATATAATACATATAAGACCAATAAGAAATACATAGGAATAAAAATGTCTTACTTGTGACGAAATTGGCTGACAGATCCATTACCAACTGTTACCTGTACATTCTGAAATAGTAAAATGATTTTAAAATATTACTTTTTTATAAGCAAATAGAATATATAGGTGGGCATTGTCTTTAACACGCTTTAGACACCGTCACCTTATTATGTAAAAAGCGGTAGGTCTGAAAGCTCGAACCAGTACGCGATAATTTTTTTTTACTTGCCTTGGCCAAGAAATTTCCATAATCAGCGGCAGCAAAGCGCTGACCAATCAATCGTGGAACGAACTTCGGTATCCGCAACATTTTTTAACAGATTATGACCGAATATTAACGTCTTTTGATAATTCTCGATTTAAGAAATTTTCTCGAACTTCACAGTCGTCGCGTGTGAACGAAAAAAGAAAAGCAGCACGTTTTTCACTTTCCTACAGATAACGATTGAAACTACAGAGGGCTTAATATTCCTAATTTTATTACATTTTTCTCTGATAACACAGCGCACAGATTATGCAATTGATGAATCAGAAAGACTTGATTATTTCTTGTATTCATATTTCTTATTTATATATTTTTTCCCGAGAACATCGAGATGAAGCGACAATTATCATTGACTTTGGATCAATTATTAAATAAAATCAACTAAAATCTTCTAATATATAATGATGGCCGATTTAAAAAACATGCTTTATCGGCTGATTCAAATGAAATAGTCGATTTGCTTATATTGGCTCGAAGTTAATCTGAGTTCAATCTTTTGCGGAATATGAACTTAACATAATACTGAGTAAAGTCTCAGCCAGTCGTTACATTATTATTGTAAAAGGAAAAATGTCTAAGCTGTCAATTAAGTATGATTATTGTTCTTGAATAAATGTATATTAGCTAGTTCAGTTTATGGTCAGCTCAAATTTTCAGAAATTATTTCTCAAGTGAACTTTTGTATTAATTGACCCATGCCCTAATACATAATAGATATTGTTGCGAAAATGCGAGGCGAATGTCAGATGAAAGAGAGAAGCCGATAACACAAGAACCTTCCATAGCGAACAATTCGATGCTTCTACGCTTTCGTCTGCGAGCAGCCGACTGCTATATAAAGGCGACACTCAGCTGCAAGTCAAGCAGTGACAAAGCAAATTGGTTGGCGTTAACATCAGTGAAGACGTAAAGTGAACGCGTAGGGAATTACATTTAAGTAGAGGAAATTGTGAAAGTTGATGTTAGTGATTATAAATAGTAAAGTGCAGTATAATTGAATTGTGAATTACTGAGAGAATAAAGGACATTAGATAGAATCTTTATAACGAAAGAAACTGCAAACTAAGTTGGCGAGTTTTTATTTAACAATCCAGAGATCGTACCCGAAGGATCTAGAAAATAATCGAGGTTGATTCAGTAAAATCGTAACAATATATTATATAAACAAAACTTTAGTCTGTTGCTCTCTGTACTTGTCTCATAAAACCACATATTGTCGGCTGTCATTCCTACTTGAAACACAACGAAGTCTGCTTTGATATCATCACATAGCAATAGGGGCTGTTACGAAAAACTTTTATAGGTTATTTGCCATATATTCATATTTTATTTGACCAAAATTCAAAATTTATACTGAGTACAGTAAAATTGCTTTGAAAGAAAGCTGCTCACTATGTCAGTCGCCGCAGACTCTGACAATGAGCTGGAGGAGAACTTTTACACGTTTCTAAATCTTCCGCGAGACGTAAGTTTCTGCAGAGTTTATTCATGATCAGCTGGTTAACCTGTGCCGGTATTTAACTTTACAGGCGACAGGCGAGCAAATAAATGCTGCGTATAGGAAGCTGAGTCGAATTTACCATCCTGACAAACATGTAGACCCCGAGAGTAAAGAAAAAGCCGAACAACTATTTAATAGAACCAAGCGAGCTTATGAGGTATTGTCAGATCCTCATAAGCGTGCTATCTATGATTGTGTGGGTCAAAAAGGGCTAAGGACGGTGGGCTGGGAATTAGTGCAACGAACTAAAACTCCTGCTGAAATACGTGAGGAATATGAGCGGTTAGCGCAAGCTGCTGAAGAGCGAAAGTTACAGCAAAGCACAAATCCTCGTGGCAATATAACAATTAACGTGAATGCTACAGAGATATTTACACCATACGATGATACACAAATTCCCCGCGTAGAAATCTCTTCAATGAGTATTTCACAATCTATTGAAGCTCCTATTAATCGTAAGGATACGCTCACACTAGGTGGAAATCTTTATTCCTCTAATGGTAATGGAAATGGGAATTTTATTCTGTGTGGACGAAGACTAGTGAACAAAGGTTGGTTGGAACTAGACATTGGCGCCGGCAACGGACCTTTGGTAGGTGTGAAAGGTACGTTTGAAATAACGTTATTGTATTACTATTGTGCGATAAAAAATTCTGTTTATTTATATTAGGTGGACGTACTCTTTCCTCTGTTATAACTGTAAACGGAGGAACTTCAATGAATTTCCGCGATGGTCGTGTAATTCCAGCCGTATTCTCAACATTAGCAGTGCAACTTGATAAACATACGATGGGTTCCCTAACGCTAAATGTAAGCTCCCAATCTTCCATGACCACGCAAATAGATAGCAGTTCTGAAAAGCATGCTTGGACAACTTCCTTCGTAATCGGTTTCCCACATATATACCTGAGTGCAGCATACACGCGAAAAATGATAGAAAACGAGTTGAAGCTCAAATTTGTGGCGAAGTAAGTATCGAAACCACTCACTCAAAACTATTATTGAGTCTTGCATTTTTCAAACATATTAACGAATTTTAGGTTGGGCACATTTGGGTTTTTGGCTGAATATGGAGCTGAGAAAAAAATATCAAAATATAGCTCTATGTTTGCGGCTGTTTCGTTAGGTGTTCCATCTGGAGTTATGCTCAAATTCAAGTTAGTATACTATCCATGTAATTAAAACGCTATAAATTGGTTGATGATTCATCTTATTTGTTTTCAGAATAGTACGATCAAATCAGTCATACATATTTCCAATACATTTGAGTGAAGAAATAGTACCTGCCGCGGTATTTTATGCCACAGTTACTCCGGTATTGATGTGGTTTTTCGTGAAAAAAACAATACTGGATCCCATGCGTTTAGAGAGGAAAAATGCCGAAATAGAAAAAACGAAACGGAGTAATGAACAACGGTTGACCAGGCAACGGCAGGAAGCACATGCTGCCGTTGAATTAATGCAACATACATATGAGCGTATAGTTTCAGAGGAAAGTAATAGAAACGGGCTTATTATAACTAAAGCAATTTACGGACAAATGGAAGATAGTAGCATTAACTTGAGAGAAAATGCTTTCATAGATGTAACTATACCGCTACAGTGTCTTGTAAAAGGAGGTACACTAGTGTTGTATCGATCATCTAAGGTAACTAACCCTTAATTTATGCAGGTATTATTCACATAACTGAAAAACTAATTAATCTTTTCTAGAGTGAACTACCCGGATTCTATGATCCCTGTATTGGTGAAGATAAAATTCTAAAAATTGACTACACGTTTAGAAATCAAAGCAATTCAATTATAATAAAGGATATGGATTCCGTGCAGCTTCCATTAGGTAGTAATAACTGATGTTAAACAGTCTAAATTAGGAGTTATTTTTTGAAAAACATATGAATAATTATAAAATCCTAATTTTTCTTAATTCAAAATGTGATTTTTATAAAAAAAGCATAAAAATTAGTTTGAAAATATACATAAAATATGTATAATTTATACTGCATTATTCCGTTCGAAAGAATATAAAGTACAACATCATAGTCTGGCTTTCACAAGGCTGCAAAAAGTTCTTACTAGTCCTAGCAAAAATTAAGAGAATTTCGTCTTTATTTCTTAATACTTTTTATGAGGAGCTTTTTGCTCGTTACGATATTTTAGATATTTACTCGGTTGGACTAACCTCTTCTGATGACGGGTTACCTTTGTTAACTAAAATGAAGTCTGATTAATATTCTATAATTTTGGATATTGGTCGGTCCAAGCTGCAAGCTCATGACCCTCCGAATAATAGAATTGAACGCCAAGACATTGAGTATATTTGAAAAATGTTTGGGCATTCCAGAAAATTATCAAAGGGGCTCCGCAGGGTGGTGTCCTCTCCCCACTACTGTTTAATTTCTACATCGATGACCTTTGTTCCAAAGTGAACTGATACCTTGCCGACTTATTCACTGCACGACAGATAAAAATACATGCAACCAAATCCTCGGCTACCTTCTTCACCAGCTGGACGAAAGAGTACAGGTTTGAATTAGATGTGAAGGTTGATGACGTAAAAATTCCGACTTTAAACAACTCAAAGATATAGGGAATATCGATAGCCTTAACTCCTTTACCCCGCATACGACCGCAAAACTCCAGAGCCGCAACAAAATACTCAGAGCGCTAACCGGCAGCACCTGGGGTAGAGACAAGGAAACTTGCTGGCAACTTATAAAGCAATTGGCCAGCCGGTCGTATCGAGAGGCCGGGGTGGATCGAGAGGCACATGAAGAAGCTACAGGCTTGCCAAAACAATGCCCTCAGGACTGCGACAGGAAACGTCCTGATGTCGCCGGAGCATTATGCTACGAGTTAAGGAGCAGAATGTTTTGTTGCGGAAGCAATTCCTACTGGGATGTTACCGTAGGGACAACAACAATAATAAATTTGGAATACAATTAATAACTTAGAAATGTCACATAATTGCCGATTTTATTAAAACAGTTGGGAAAATACTTCATACCAGAAATATTAAACTGTATAAGTCAAGGCAAATTCACACGCGGTAGTAGCAAAAATACCAAAACAAAAATTCCAAGTATTTTATTTGTGTAGTCATAATTTCGAGAAGTTAAAAACGCAAATCGTTCAATGGGTTTTGTTTGTGTAAACAAACGTTCGCAATGTCAAAACCTATTTCTCATATATTTTGTTTGTGTATTTTTTTGGAATCGAAGGAAGAACAAGCAATCATATCACTATCAATATACATATAATATTAACTTCACCTTCTATAAATTCGCCTTGGCATAAGTAAACGAATTCAAAATTAACCGCCAAAATAAACAACTGTTGTACAGCTTGCTGGCTTATTTTTAGTAGATCCTGTAAGTTGAAAACTCAGTAAATTTCTTTCCTTAAGAGAGTAAAAATTTTTACTCTCTCAATTCCGTTACTTGCTGGTTTTTACCGACATTTCTCAACGAACGCAACTAATATTCTCACTGTTTCCGGTGAAGTAAAAAAAAGTAACTTTAACATCCGAAATATAATTTGGTATTAGAATACGCACAGGTTACATTGTTTGTCAATTTTGGCAGCACTGTTTTGTTTCGACCATGTCAAATTGCATTTTCCAGTTGGTAAATTATACAGAAATCGAAATGCAAGACGGACGCAATGAAATAAGTAATTTATTCGTTTATTAAGTCGTAAATATCATATATATTTATGAGAAATATATATGAGGACGACAAACGAAAACACTATTTTCCAAATTTCCTCGACAACTTCTTAACATGCGCATTTTCGAACAGTTTTCTCAACTGAAATTAATTTTACATGAAAAATATGCCTACACATTTTGGTTCTTATTTCTTCTCAAACTAGCAACTCTTAATCAGACAGCTGTTTGCTTGTTACCTTCTATTTCGTGGGTAACAAAACCTACAGGTGACAGTGAACTCGAATATGAAATTATATTAAAATTTACTGAATGGTAAATTTTAATACCGAAGTAAATTTTGTTACCTCGACAGAATAGGCCTGAGTTTACTCACGTTCTCACAGAGACACTTTCTTCAAACAATTTATTTGACATTTGTTTTCTTCTTAATTCTTTTCTCTTTTCGCTTTATTTTATACTTACAGTTTTTCGTTCGCTTCGCGCATTTTTAATATTTTTAAAATAAAAACACTATGTGCGTGTAAAGAAAGACACTTTCATTTTTTTATTTTCTTATATTTATTTTTACATTAGAGCGATTTGACAAACAGGGCGCCTTGGACCTTGTAGTCTAATTTATGTCAGTGTTCGTGAATGCCTTAGTTAACTTTTGTTGGATATACTTTCCACAAACAAGTGTAACTATTAGCTTTTGTTTCATTTACTAATTATAGCACCCTGTATGCCAAGCATTTCTGAACATTTAAACTCTTCACAGGTGGCATCACCGACCATTGCTTATAAATTGCACAAGTAAATATAGTGTTTTGTGGACAAGTGTATGGAAATTGGACCTCGCTGGGGTAGATTTACGTTGTAAGTTTCCAAATGGCGTTTTTGGAGTTTTCTGATTTTGTTGGTGAAATCTATCTTCAACAAGAGAAGATCTGGACAGTGGCATAATTGTGATAACGACCAGCGGCAATGACTCTCTTCACTAAAGCGAACGGTGTGAGGGCAATGCTGTGTCTGGTCGGGATGTGGGTGCTGTTCAGTGCGTTCCTGAGTTATATAGATAATAAAACTGCAACATATTCGACTTTTAGTAGGCTTAGGTAAGTTTTTGAGAAGCGCTTTTGTATACTTTTAATGATTGAGAAATTTCTTCTTTCTACACTTTTGCAGCATTCGGCATGTGCATAGGTTTGCTAAAACAGTTAATGTTTCCAGTGATTCATATAGTAATAAAAGCTCGAAGGGAAATGATATATTGACTTCAGGAAACCAGGCGGCCCAACTTTTTGATGTCGGTGCTCAAATAGTTGGTTCCTCATTAAGCCAACAGAACAATATTTCGAAGAAATATAATCAATCCAAAAATGGTATAATTCGCACCATAAAAAATCAGTACTCAGTGTCTTTAAAGTATGGATGTAAGGAGCCACAATACGATGAAAGTAAGTTATATTTTTTTACATTTTTACGGAGTTAAATAAATACCCAATTAGACTACTATGTTATAAATCAAGTAAACTGGGCAGCCGCATTGCTCAAATAGCATGGCGGTGGGTGATATTAGCCCAAGTCCTTAGTCTGAAGTTTTTAATATGAGGTCCCTGTTCAAGCGTATATCGGACATGAAGGTGAAGTTTTTCAAAAAATCAACAGCAATTTAGAGACGGCTTCTAACAAAAAGTTCAAACTTGTAATATCGGTCGTAAATCGGTTAATCGGTTCTAAAGTGTATGATATTAATTGTTTTCTGTGCTTTGTTGGTAGAATTGATTTTAAATGCTTTGTTAATAAAAAATTTACAAATTTAGATTTTGAATAAACAAATAATTTGAATCAATCGCATTGCCAACTGCTCAAACGACAGTTCACAGGTTCGGATCATGATACAAAAAAACGAAGGTAGTTTCACTCAACATAAAATTGGCAGAAGAAGATTTTATGAAATGATATACCCCTGCGGGTTAGGGGCTCAAGAATTTACCCGCGGTAAGGCATGCCTGTCGTAAGAGGCGACTAAAATCCAATAGTTCCCGCGACAGTCGGGTCTTTATACCGGAGCGACCCGGATTTTTATCCGGCCAAGGACTGTCACTCCCGCAACATTCCCCAAAAAGTACTTTGGGGAATAATTTTGCGGTTACAACAACAACAACAACATGAAATGATATTATATTATCATTTAATTTTCACTATAAAAATATATAGAGTGATGAACTAAAGTATATGCACAGCAAGATAGTTCAACTTTAACACTTTGTTTTGACCACTTATGAAAACAATTATAATTCCGAAAAAATGCTAGACAGAGGGACAAACTTTCAACTAATTTCACAATTCACTTGATTAGCTTTTATGTTAAATTAATATTAATTATAAATGAAAAAAGTACTAATTTTCACTCCCTTGCGAGTCTTTATACCGAAATGACCCATATTTTTATCCGGTTTTGGTTTTTGGTTTCGGGGAATTCTCTGCGGTTGCAACAACAACAATAATAATAATAACTTACTTATTTAAATATTCACGTTGCCTGAATACTTCACTTATTTTTATGCATTAATCAAACGAAAAATTCGAATTCAATCACACATTTGAAGCAATTTATGATTTTTAGATGAAGGACCCATAAGTCCGAATACAACACTTGAGTCACTGGACATTGTGGAAGCTGAGCTTGCCCCATTGTTAAAACCGGGTGGAAGCTTTCAACCACATGATTGCATTCCAAAGGATCACGTCGCAATTGTTGTGCCATTCCGTGATCGCTATGCGCATTTAGCAGTATTTTTACGAAACATACATCCGTTTTTAATGAAACAGCATATCGCCTATAGAATATTTCTTATTGAGCAAACAAACGGAAGAGCATTTAATCGTGCAGCTTTGATGAATATTGGCTTCTTAGAAGCATTGAAAATATATCCATGGGACTGTTTTATCTTCCATGACGTTGACTTATTGCCGTTGGATAACCGAAACTTATATACATGTCCGCGACAACCGCGCCACATGTCGGTCTCTATAGACACATTAAACTTCAAGTAAGACTTATGTCGTTAAAATATAACTTCATTTAATACCGAATACGTATTAAAATTCCGTAAACTTTCAATCTTAGGTTGCCTTATCGTTCAATTTTTGGAGGGGTGTCCGCTATGACACGCGAGCATTTTCAGTTAGTGAATGGTTTTTCGAATTCCTACTTTGGTTGGGGAGGCGAAGACGACGACATGTCCAATAGGTAAAATATTTTAAATAACATGTTAATATTTATTATTTTTATATTATTTGATGGTTTTAACAGATTGAAGCATGCAAATTTGTTCATATCAAGGTATCCTGTTAATATAGCACGATATATGATGTTAAAACATCCCAAGGAAAAGGCCAACCCTAAAAGGTAATTTCAAATATATATGGCAGTATTAAAATCAACTGGCTTAATCATTTCAATAGTTCAAAGTATCCTTCGATAGCGCTTGATGTTATTGATTACCGATTCATTGATTTTTGTGCGTGTGCATTAGTTTCCAACTAAAATAAATATTTTGATTTTTTCATTATTTACAGATATGAGAATCTCGTGAATGGAATCAGCAAGATAGAAATGGACGGCATAAATTCCATTAAATATAATATATATAGCATACAAGAATTTTCAACTTTTACTTGGTATTTAGCCGAATTAAAAATCGTCGATCAAACTAGTTAATATATATAATCATATATATATATATATATATATATATACATATAAATAAAATAGTGATTCCTTAATATTTATTTAGGTTTTTTCAATAGCTAACATTTAAAATATTTCTTTCTTTTATTGTTCCTTAAACTTATTTATTACAATTACTACGACAACGCATATTAACTAATAAATATGTACGTTTTTTATATTTACGGCTTGTTTGATTCTTCTTTCCTTTCTATAACGCATTGAAATCATTGACAATTTATATAAAGAAGAAATCCCGTAAGATCGGCTGTCACTCTTTCACTCACTTCCGCCCACATCCAATTCCATCTCTAATGCGGCTGCCCAGCCCCCACAATTTGTCGGAAGGCGGCATGCGTTTGATGCAATTCTAGCATTGGCTGCTGCCATTTTTGTTCACTGCCCCATTCTGTAGCAGTCTGTCCCCGACTACAATTATTATACCACCGCCAACTGGCAGCAACCCCAGTTACGCCGCACAGCAAGATACTAGACTCACGTATCACACCCTTAGAAACTGCATGGCTGCTCAGATCTGCGCCTGGCAGAAGACAACATTATACGTAAGGATTGCGAGGGAGATCATGGTGCAGGCTTGGCGTTCATCCTGCACAACACCGTGCTGTGTTGTATAATTAGGGATAGTACTCTAAAATGTTAGTACGCAGCTATCCAGTGAGGCAATGTCCAGGTGGAAATATAAAATATATCCGTTCTTCTAGTTAATTGTTGCCAAGTTGAACACAGTCATGATCATTAGCATTCCAGCTTGTCAAATCACCGTAGATGAATGGAGTTAGCAAAACATATATACCATTTGACTTTCTGCACCTTGAATTGCCATGGCTCGCATGACATTTCATTTGCTAGCACTGCTATAATGAACAGCATTATTTAGCGACCTATGATGACCCTATATACTCAGGTATAGCGGATATTTTTGCAATACCTCTATAATTCCCAATATTAGACCTATAACCACTCATATGTAAGGGTACAATAAAAGACTGCTTCCATATTGTTGGGAACCTACCTTGTTTGAGAACGAAATAATTAAACTTAACTACTTCGACATTTGTGATGAAGAGGTTCCTTGAAAAGAAATTGGAGAATCTTCCACAATTAAAAATAAACCAAAATAAATTTTCTTCATTCGTTACCTTCAACAAAAATTATGCAAACTCAGCCGGAGAATAATATTGCACTTTGTGTTCATTGATTTAATATATGTATGTAGGTATAATTCAAGTTGATTTATTTTTCTATTTAGTATAAGAAAAGATGTAATGGATACACTACTAAAAAAGGTAAAGAAGTCTGCTGGAAGTATAGTTGTAGGCGGAAGATAAATTTGGTACTTAGCAGTTCAAGATTCGATTGTAGTTGTTTTAAACATAAGATAATTGTAAAGCTCAGTTTTTCGTTAGAGTGTTTTTTTATTTTTCATTTAATTTTGTTAATCAGTACGCTTATTACATACTAGGTGTTTTATTTCAAATTCGGTTAATTCATATTGGCATTTAATAATGAAACCTTACTGCAACTATCTATGCTTAATTCGTGCGTACGTGTACATAAACATAAATATGCATAAAGCTATACATTTATTTATATTATGTAAAGATATATCTGTATTTTATAATAATATCGATTGTTCCAAACACACATACCTACGAGTATATACATATGTATGATCAAGTTCAGGTATATATAATATAATAAAATAAATATACATATACGTTTCATTGGCGAACATGAGTTTTGCGGCAAACACGAAAATATCTTCAAATAAATAGTTGACAAAAGTATTAAATGAAATTTAATTAATTAATTATCTTACGCTGCAAAATATTGCAAAAACTTGTTACATACAATACATTAATTTCTGTTTAAAACAGCTCCACAACAGCATTCATAGTTTTTTGCTCGCCATTAGTAGGCGAAGTTCTTAAAATGGTATTCCAGAAATTTGCTCTAAGAATCGAACTCCTAAATTACGGACAGCTAGTGGAAATAGTGAGCATAAAAACTAACACCAGGATCAGAGAAAATTTTGGTTAACTAAATATTTCAAATTAGAACACACGTATGTGGTTACATACATATGTACATGAATATTTGTATATAATTTCATTTACATAAAATATTTCATTTCATATTTTATTCGAGAGTTTTTAATACAAATTAATGGTATTAAAAAGATTTTTATCAAAATATTTGGAGCTCAGCAGCGAAATTAATTCAAATATATACAGATAAATAATGTTATTTAGGGTTTTTATGTTACATTTTGAATTTTAAAAATTTTTATATTCAAACACAAAATTTTCATATTTATTTAGGTTTATAAAAAATGACATAAGAAATTTAAAAATTCGGGTTTTTGATTTTTTAGACCATTATTTAATTAAAAAATATACACATATAATATTTCAGTTAAATTTTACCTTTTATGATCGCGAAGGGAACACCCCAAATTTGAGGAGGAAAAGCGTGAAAACTTATTTGAATTTTTTAAGCCATAATGGTCAACATAATACATAATTATGATAATTATTGCAGTCCTCTATTTTAAATTATGTTTAACTTAGTGCCAGCGGTCACGAAACTATTAAAACATGAACATAAAAACATTAGAGGAATAGTGATTAGATCATGTGGCAAACCTTCGTTACTTTTGTAGCGTTACATTATGGAGTATTATAATTATTAGTAAACCTATATTTACATACATACATATATTCGAGAATTATTTTCAATAAATTAGTTTGATTTCGATTTACATTATGGAGCATGGCATTGCGCAACAAAGTGGTAGACAAATAGGAACCACTGCTCCGCCTTGTTTAGTCTTGGATTTAGACTTGTAACCAGACTCGTACTCGTACATTCCAGAACCTTTTGCCCAACGACCCTGAATAAAAATAAAAGCAAACTTTCAGATATTTCCTTAAAAATACGTATGCCTCGAACGAAGAATGTTTAAAAAATATTTTATTTATTATTTAAATTTAGCCTACGGCCTTGCCCCATTACTACGTTAGAAGTGTAATTAGATATCTTACCCCTGCTGCCGATCCTGCGGCCATTTCTTCCCGTTTCGTTAACATCATCTCATGCCCGGGTGGGTAATATACCTCCTTTCCCGCCTTATTAATTGTTGGGACGTGCTGGCTTGGCGTTGCCACAGCAGTTTCAATTTCTCGTTTTCGTGGAGTCGAAAGATCGGATCTATCCGCAGAGTCGACCTGATGAGAAAACAAAATTATTGTTAAACATGGGATATTAAATTTTATATTCTGATTTGGAGTCCATCTATGGCTTACTTACTTGACCAAATGACTGCATTAGTTCATCCACTTTTTGTGGGGGGTTAGAATCTATTGGATAATCAACACCGTCTACAGGGAATGGTGCTGGCTGTGTAGCTGTTGTTGGTGAGCCATATGGATTGGTGGGACCACGTTGAGTATTTGTTGTAGATGTTGACGAATATTTGTATGTAACTTGAGAATTGGTTGGCCCATGGGGCGGATAACCATTACCATTCGGTGAATAGCCTATTGGAGTTGTCTTGTGTTGAGGATGTGCGGGTGGTAAATATCTTGGTTGGGTTTCCGATGGACCAACCGGTGATCCATGTGTAGTGTTTACAACATTCGATGATTCCTTGTATATATATTTTGTAGTTGTTGGACCCGGAGGGCCATAAGGTCCACTTTGTGGAGAATCTTGGTGCAAAGGATACTCTGGAGAGCGTTGAGGATAGCTATCTGGTCCGGTATGAATATTTTCCGTTTTGTTGACCTTATAAATAACAGTTTTGTTGCTGCCACCAGGCTGAGGGCTACGTGGTTGCTGTAGTGGTAAGTTGTTTTGCAAAGTGTTACTTTCGCGATGTTCACGGATCTCATATAAGTGATTTGTAGTGACAGGAACCTCACTACCCCTGTTAGTTGTAGAATAGCTTTCGGTATTATAAACAACAGTTTGTGGTGCTATTGGGATTGCATTAGGACTAGAGTGGAGCGTGGAGCTATTAATTTCATTACGCTGAATTGTATTGTAGCGCGTACTTGAAGTTAATGGTGTGCTTCGGCTCAGCGTTCCAGTTGCTGGTACTTCATAAGTATAGGTGCGAACTGTGGTGGTAACTTTAGTACCAGGCACCGGTAATATATCTTCACTCAACGGCAGATTCTGAAGGTCTTTCTCCAACTGGCTTGTTGTTGTTATAGTGGTCGAAGGAATCAAATCCGTACTATCAATAATGCGATTGCTTTCATATAGCTTGTTTCTGCTTTCATAATGGTTCGCTGTAATTCAATCAAATGCAATTGTATAAAATGCTACGATTAAAAATAAACTGTTCACGCTTACTAGATCCATATAGCTTCTCGTTGGATTGATAGTCCCGTTGGATGCTGGGATAACCATTTGACTTTAGAGTGCTGTACTCAGATGTGGAGAAGCTATCAATTTCATCACGCACTGGATGGGGCTGTGATCGTTGTGATGTTTTTATGACGCGAGTGGTTTTCGTAACACTACCACTAGGCTCTGCGGAACGTTCCCGTTCTCTGAAATCACAAAGTTATTATTTACAATATGTACTTTCAAAATGTATTAAAAAAATGCGCAAGAGATTGTATTTTGACAAAAAAGGCTAAAAATACTTCTTAAACGTTAAAAAAAAAACATTGAGAGAAGATTACTTCCGAAAGCTACGATTTTTAGCACACGAAAACATTTTAACTTTTACTATGCATTGAAAATAATCAAAAGGTGAAATATATTTTACAACTAATTATTGAAAATAGGCGCTCTGCAGCTAATTTATTTAACTTATTTTTCCCAAAGTTGTTAGCGTAGCTCTCCCTCACAGGGCACAAATTAATACAAATTGTTCATTATAAAATAAAATGAAAAATCAAATACTTACATTGTCCTATAATTGGCAGAAGTTGATAATATATCTAAAATAAATCAAAATGAAAATTAGCGTTCAGTATTTTTTGACGTTATTATTTCATTATTTCTTGCCTTTATCTTTTGTAATTTGGCGTTCATGTTTCAAGTCCTCCAACAAAGCGTCCAATTGATCAATATTCGTATCTAGTGACTTATTCATGCTTGATATATTATTATTACCCGAACTGGAATATTGATAGGATGACTTCTTATACGCATATCCTTTTTCGTCCTATTCGATTTTAGAATCCGGAAGTGAAATTTGTTTTGGTTTAATTAAAGAATTTTGATTACATAATATTATTGCCTACCTTATTACCCCACTTTGAAGGAGAATCACTCCTTACTGTTGATGAAAAATTTTCCGAGCTCGTTGCGTACTGCATTACTGTAAATGTAAATGTAAAAACCTAGTTTTATTTGAAATTAATTTAGAATATTCAGCTTTTATTTGGTTTAACGTATTACTTTGATGCCATATTGTTAGGATCCTACACTTTTTGGATGTAACTATAGAGTCTTTAGCCAGAGGGAGAAAAAATATAGGTAATCTTCAATGAACACATACAGACATTTTGATAATATTGCTGTTAAACAAAAGCAAATTATTATTTTTCAATACAATAATTTTTTTATTACTGTTTAAGAAAATTTACTATTTAGTCCGGAATACCAGTGGATGGGACTTATTTTATATAAATATGTATATCATATATATGGCACAATAGCCGAATTGTTACCTTTGCTTTCTAACGTTCACATGGCCAGCTCTAAAATACTATTGGTCGAAAATAGCTACTTACAGTAGCTTTCATGACCGAAGCAAACTCTTGTAGAACACAAATAGGTGATCTAACGACCGATGCTCAGAGCATATTGAAGTTATGGAGGGAATACTTCTCCAGCCTGCTGAATGGCAGTGAAAATGATACACCCGGAGATGGTGAACACGAAACTCCAATTGATGACTATGGAAACGTTGTTCCGTTACCCTACTAAGAAGAAGTCCGAATAGCAATCGCCCGCTTAATAAGCAAATAAGCGGCGGGAGCTGACGGCCTACTGTCAGAACTATTCAAACATGGCGGTGCAGAGCTGACAAGGTGTATTCATCAGCTTCTCTGCAGAATATGTTGGATGAAAGCATGTCGCACGATTGGAATTTAAGTGTGCTCTGCCGAATCCACACAAAAGAAGAAAAAAAGCGGAATTTTCTCTTGTGATAGTCATTTTTCTACAACACCTGCTGTTCGTTTTCAGACTTTTCCAAAATCGAATGAATACACGTATGTATATCCTTTTTAATCTTAAGTGCAAGTAAACTTTACCGAATTTCCTCTTACATCCATCACTGTTGAGCCTTGTTTAATTCTCCTCATCTTATGACTATACGCGAATGACAAGTGGACTTTAATATCCTTTTTTAGAAATAATTGCTTTTTCTGCTAAGTTAAACATAATACTTTTTAGTCAAGCACAAATCGCAACCATTTTTCTGTATGAAGTTTTGCTAATTTTTCCAAAATTTGTTTATCCCAACGTGGGTTTCTTTAGCGATGCGGTGCCAGACAATTTTTGTTATTACTTTAAAAGTTGGGAGCTCCATGGTATTTTAAATAACTTTGTAAACTATTTGATAACTCGCTCTTTGCGAAATTTTTTTTTTTTTTGATTTGCAAAGATTTGAAAAAAATGCTCTCTTTTTTGAAGAAACGTTGTGTTGTTTAATGCAATTAAACTTAACAAATTTAAATTTAAGATTATAACGGCTTTTTTTAATCCGAAAACGACGCATGTATGTGCTTGTATACACGGTGTGTCCCAAAAAATAACCGAAATTTATTTAAATCATACAACATATAACGCCATCTATTGAATGAATTTGCAACATATATCTTTTTAATATTCATCATCTTTCAAACGCACCCATCATCATGTAAGTCGGCTGACAGATGTAAAAGTGACAGCCAAACAGACAGATAAAATGGAACAAAGAGCAAATATAAGATTTTGTGTCAAACTTGAAAAAAAATTAATGAAAAAAGTTTATTGTGATGATTGTATGAGTCGTAAGCAAGTTTATACGTGGTTTACACGATTTAAAAATGGTCGTGAGGATTTAAATGACGACCCTAAAGCAGGACGTCCAGAAACTAGTAATCGTGCTGAACTGTTGGAAAAAGTCCGTGAAATCATTGGTATCGATGTAAATTTTACTACGAGAATGTTGGCTGAGGAATTGAATACGAGTAAAAACACTATTTGGAGAATGTAAACTGAAGATTTGGGGAAAAGAAAGGTCTGTGCGCGATTCGTTCCACATGAATTAAATGACGACCAAAAAATCGCTCGAATTTTTAATGAAAAAAGGGATTTCTCTTATCGACCATCCTCCGTATTCGCCTCATCTATCACCATGTGACTATTTTTTATTTCCAAAACTGAAAACCAAGATGAAGGGAGCATTTTATGATGATATCTCAGCCATTCAAGCAGCCGTAACCGAGGTACCGAAGAACATTTCAATAAATGACATAAGAAAATCGATGCATGCGCTGGTTGATCGTTCCAAACTTTGTGTTGAGTCAAATGGAACCTATTTTTAAATAAATAATAACTTTCAAAGATAATATAATGTGTATTTTCTGTTATTTTTCGGACACACCGTGTAGCAAGAACTTGAGCGAATATTTATTTTATTGAAAGCAACGCTAACATTTTAATCTTAGTGCGAAGTGCACAAAATCTCTGTCCACTGTTGAATATTTTTCTTCTAAATTTGTTATTGATATTGTTAAATCATCGTGCAAGTATTATAAGCTTTTATTGGATATACTAATGACGACATTGACGTTGAGATAAAAAATTTTTATAACATAAATGATGCGATAGAACAAATATTTAAATACGTAGGCGTCTTGTTTTTGTGAAGGCTTTAACAGGTGATTTAGTTAGAAAATATGTTCATATAAGTAATTATTAAAATTCAAGCTTACGAAGTTCTTTGAAAATTACAGAATAATATGAGTAATAATAGTTTATTTCTGGCTTAATGAATGACAAGTGATGTTGGCGGTTCCAAATGAATCAGTGGAATACCATTTTCCGATGGTAATGTAAACAAATTTTATTTACAAGTCAAACCATCGCATAAATAAGAGTATATTCTTCTCCGTTTATGGTGTGTATTTTGATGTTGATCCTACAAGTGGATTTTATTTATTAAATATCAATTAAAAAATATACTTGGAACTTTATGTTTTGGATTAGTCAAGACTCTACTCCTAGCATGCACTTCTACCCACACACTTGGCCACTCATGACACATAAATTAATAATATACCCAACCGCTGTAACCCCTCTAACCGACGGTCGTCCCCTTGCTCCAATTTGTAGTATGCGTCTTGATGTTTTTCCAACAAATAGACGGACCCACAATTCATTATATGCCATCTTCCACTCGGAGGCCGGGATATACCCTGACGAGGGGTTGCTCGCACCAGGACTCCAACGCTGGCCATCAGAATGCTAGTACGCGATGCTAACCACTCGGCTATTGCGACCGCCCATATATTAATACTATGTATTAAAGTGAATGTGTTTATCTAACATTTATGCATGACTGAGTGCGATTATTATTCTTAAATGAAATCACCATGAAAAATCTTTATTAATGCTGTGTACATATGTATATAGGTATATATGCTCAAATATACATACATATTTTAAAATATAATATGTTAGCATTCAACCAACGAAAATAATGGTCAAATAAAGAACGAATATAAGCCATACCGTTGTTAACGGTTTTTAGTTTTCATTACAATTATTTGTAGATACAAAAAAAAATTATAAAACACGGTTCAATAATTAAGGACTGGAGAATACACGACCATATTTCGAAACCTTTGGTCAATATTCGTTCCTATGGACTGTTACAGAAAGAGAGAGATTTAGATAACTCACATATATTATTATTAATTATTTTTTTAACAATACATAGATAGAAAAATTTTGCCTTTTTAATTTGTGTTTTTCTAATTTACCAGAAAATTAACTAGAGAGCCAAACATGTAAGGCCAGGGCCAAATACACTATAATAATTCCAGAATCTGAGTGCTGATAATGATTTTAGTCGAAATGTCACTACAGGGTATTCGTTTCATAAAATCAAATCAAATCAAGTGAAAAATGGATCGAGGCAACGAAGAACTTGCTAGATTATCTGGGAAGAAGCGTTATCTTTCTTCGCGATTTCTCTATTATTATATATAAAACTTACTAATATAATCACTTCGAAATCAACAAAATTCCAATTCTAGACTCATAAAATTAGCTGGGGAGCGCAAGGTGAAATTTCATGGACATTTACGTGTTGTTACCTTATTGAGCGTTCGAGTATGTGTTTTCTATAAATTATGTATGTATACATATATATATTGTACATGTATGGACGAATAGAAGATGCGTAAATTTTGAAAAGTCGAAAGTGGGATCTTCTTAATTTTTGTTCACTTGAAAATAATTGAAAAATTTTACAATATTTATGTACAAAAATCTTATAGTATGTATATATATTGAACAACGATTTACTTTAAATTATTAAAAGCATCATTTTCAGACACAACCAGACTGACAACAACATTGATCGTATTCATAACAAATATGTTATGTACATGTGTTTGGTGTTTGCATGTAGAGAATATAAGTTTGCATAAATTCAAATAGAATGATCTCATATAGTAGTCTCGTTTATGCCGAAAGAAAAGTAGAAAACAAAATCGGAATGTCCGAAGGTGAAGTCAAAATATCAACACAACAGAAAACAGCAATTACACACATACATATATTGTATAAGGCGATATATAGCACGTGTAAATTGATTCTACGGACATACCAACATATATATATATATATTTATACTTATGTATTTAGCTATATATGTATGTACATATGTACATTATTGTATAAGGCGATATATAGCACGTGTAAATTGATTCTACGGACATACCAACATATATATATATATATATTTATACTTATGTATTAACGATGCTTGTGTCAAAATACACCCACATACATACATATGTAAATATATATATATATATATATATATATTTGATAGATCTTCTCAATTATGATGTCGAAAAATTGGATAAGCTTTTTAACAATCCACCATCTGGAAAGGTGATAGGTGCGTTGGTGTAATTTGAATCAGCTTCCCATTTAAAAAGTTTTTAATAAATTAATACAAATATTGTATTACGCGTACGCGCTTCAGTAGATGCATACATATAACTGCATGCTAAAGTTTCGACCTTGACAGTTAGGCCTCGATGCACAAAGTAAGGATTCAGAGATGAGACAATCAAAATGTCATATGTGC